GCAGTGACTGTGGGGAAAGACAGCATTTTGAAACCAACCTCCTCAAATTTTGACTCTGGTAAAAAAAGTCAAGAGTAAGTTTGCAGAAGTCCATTAAATAATGAAGTCTGTAGTGCATGTGCTCAAACACAAATGAAAAAAACCTCAGAATTATGCTTTCAGCACTCTAACTGAAAACAAACGGAACCACTTGACTCCATACTGTTGGCCAAATAGTGTGCATTACGGAGTCCAGAACAAAAGGGTGGAGAAAGAAGTCATACCTGATAGAACTTACTGCAACTTCATGGATGTTTCATGACGGAACTATGGAGAAGTAACTGATTATGTGAATTGATCAGAAAACAGGCATAAGTGTTAATGAAAATATACCTTGCATTAAACTGAGAAACATGATTACCAGTTGAACAACTAATAGGAGAAGATAAAACACTTGACACTCTCTGCTTGTTTGCTTCTTTTACTTTGTTCTGTCAGCTTTAGTATACCAAAATCTTTTCTTTTTTCCTGTTTTACTTATTTAGCAATTCCTACACTAACACAAATCAGACTGATTTTACAGTAATTCTGACTGACATTGCAACATAGTGTACCTAGTTTTCAGGAGCAGGTGAGATGCAGTGATAGCTCCTGTTTGCAGGACTTGAAGTTGCAAGAAGGGGCACAGACAAGCGTTTTGTAATATGAATCACTATGTGATTGGAGATCCAAAAAAGCCATTTTTTTACCATCACACTCCTTTCTGTTCAGTATGTGTACACCAAGTAGCTGACTAAAAACCTGAGAGATGTAGCAGAAGTCTCTCATTCGCACCTGAGAAATAGCTTGTCCCACTAAATCATGCTGCACCAGTACTGTTATGCTGGAACACAGAAGCTCAGTTAACCTACTGTAACAACCAGCTGTGAAAAATATCATTTTATCACTACCTGTTTTCAACAGAAATTGCCGTTCTAGTATTTCTTTTTTGACAAAATACTTAGAACGTTCTATTTTGAATATGCCATATTTGACCATAATTGAGAACTAGAAGAAATGCAGACCAAAACTGGTAACTTTTGCCTTTCCAGTAACATACTGCACTTACAGCTTCATTTTGGTCTAAATCTCACCTGTGATAAAGTATCATTCAGCCCACCACAAATGAGTTGTATTTTCCCTTTGACAGGAATATTTAACTTTACTGAAATGCATAATAAAAATGCTCTGTAATTTGGATTGTGAAGAATAACAGCAAGTTTGAAAGCTAAAGCTTTAAGTTATTAATTTGCAGGTTGAAATAGGAAAGTCTACTTTTTTGCTACTAGTATGAATACCGATTCTAATGTGGCAACTGACAAGTTGAAGAAATGCATATGAATATTCTTGACATGATTTACATATACTGTTGCTGGGTTTATGAAAGAGCAATCAAAACCAAAATACTTTCATAACTTTACATACATACTTGTGATAAAAATGATCAGGGAAGACTGAGTTATCAATCATCACCTTTGGGATGAGATGTCACTTAGGAAGAGTAAAACTGCATTAGAACTGGTATGTTTGATGCTTTGGAGGCCACACTTACAAAGAGAAGTAAATCAAAAAAGTAGCTCTATTTTTTAAACCCAGAAAGTGTGAAAGGGTGGGTGCAATACAGGTGGACTGGGTAAGTATTATAGGTTGAGTCAGTAGCAGGTTCATATGACATTAACAACCTATTCCAGTGAATAGCACCATTCAAGTACTGCTTGTCATTCTGAAAAATGCAGTAGGACAGGCACCCCCTACTTACCATACATCTACTGCCATTTGCTCATTCAATCTGTATCAGCCAAAAGGTAGGAGTGTTTGTCATTCTATTGCTATTACAGAGAAGATTAGTCAATTTGACAGTTTTAATTAACAGTGTAAATTGAAGTCATCTTTTTTAGGTGACAAAGATTAGGCCTTTTTTATCAGATACCTCCTGAGAGGCACAGCAGACATTTTCTGAATCTTCTAGCTTTCAGATGACATTTTCTGAATCTTCTAGCTTTCAGATGCTTACCTGCCACCATCCCTTTTTCATATCGAACAAAAACTTTTTTGGGTCTCAAAAAATGATCATTTACAAAGATCTCTGATTAGGCTCCACAGGAAAAGTTAGTGTCCAGTTTTGCCACAAGCTGACTGTCCTACAATTCTCATTCTTTTGATAGCCTGCTGCTGTAGTAAAATCCTTGCTATTTAGTTTCCTATTAAAAGGTCAGAATTGTAGGCTTAAAACATTCCTTTTGCATATGATCAGGAGAATCATATGGCCATTAAAGCAATTTCAACATGTCATACATTGTACCAAAATTCTCACCTGGCAGGTAATGGCTTTCAGAATCATCTATGTGTCAGGTCATTATAAAAGAGATGCTCATGTTCTTGAATTTTGTATTTGTGATTCTCTGCCAACTCTTACGACACATATGGATATAGATATGGATATTGCTTTTTTTTTTTCCCCACACTTGGAAGAAGTTTCCCAGGATCATTCTGGGGAAAGCAATTTTGACCCAAGAGTTGAATGTTGAAAGCTACAGAAGTAAGAGACCATGCACATGAGCACATCACAGTAATTAGCTTTTTTTTTTTTTGTTTGATTTTACATTATTTGACAGGATATCATTCTAAACTTGTGGAGTTCAGGAAACAGCACGTAGTCCGTTCCATTCCATAACTAACTGAAACCAAAGAAACAGAAACTATGAAAATTTTAAACCCTTAAAGAAAGCCAAACAACCAAAAACCAAACCCATGCAGCAGAATTTCAAGTTAATTCTCAGGAACTAAGCATGGACAAAAGTATCACAGAAAAGCCTAATACCTAGGGGTGTTGGAATCCAGAAGTGGAACTTATCACTTTCCCATAAGATGCTTAGGGAATAATTCTCTGCATTCCTCTGCTTTGTCCAGAGATAGTTAGGCCATAAACAACTCATCAATCTGAAGCAACATTAAGCACACCATCTGTAATTCTTTAAAAACTTTGACAATACACAGCCAGACTTGCTAGCATACAACTCTGTATTCCTAATACATGTCCTTCCAACACACAGCAAAGTTCTATCATCTACCAGCTAGTTCACAACATGAAGGATTTTCACAATATATAGCAAACATACACACTTGCAAAGTACCAACAGCTAATCAAAAAGAACACCCTCAGAGTACTTCAAACCTATCATAAATTTACAAGCCATTCATTTAATGTTTAAGTGAATGCATTTTTGCCCTCAAGAGAAGTTAATGCTTACTTAGATTCATAAGTGTAATTAGTTTATAAATCGGATCTGGCCTCGTGCTTAAGGCTCTGCACCACTTGGCAACAGATATACTTTAATAAAATAAATTCCTAAAAAAAAATCTATACTAATTTCAGTAAAAGCATTAACGATGAGGGATAATAATTATATAAAAATGTCTATCCACAGAAAACAAAAAAGGGACTTTTCCAGAAAACTGACTGGTAGAAATCAAAAATAAAAAACATTTGGAGTAAAGGCTTAGCTTACCCATCTTAAATATAGCACTGCAAAGATCTTTGTAAATATTTCTGTTCTATTTCCACTTCCGAAAGATCTCTTGACAACAATAAAAACAGCTCTTGGCCTTTTCTTTCCCAATAGACTATACCCAGAAAAGCCTGACTTGTATTATAATTCACTGAATAATTTATGATGCATCAGAAGACAATGAATTTTGGGGCAGCTTCACAAACACTCCATGTCTACAAGCCCACAGCACAGAGATTTTGATCATCTTTGAAGTAAATTTTTCCCTTTAACTTGAAATCATTCTAACATAATAAATTACATAATTACAAAGACTAAATCAACCATTACAACTTAGAAGTTAGCCCATTACACTGAATTCTCAAATTTATGAAGAACTGTTCATTTGAGCTATAAGATAAAGTCTCCCCCTCAAAATCCCTACAAATAGCAAAAATTATGTTACTTCTGCTGTCTTCAAAATCTGCTAAAATATAACTTTAATAGAAAGAACTTAAACAGGAATTCTTTCCCAATGCGAAATCTTGGCATTACCCTCTGCTCCCAAGGGGGCGGTTGGGAGATACACACAAGATAACCGTTTGTTTCAGCATTCTTGAAACGCAGACTAAAAAGAACTCAGTCTTCATTATACTGTCATATGTAAGCAACAGTGAAAATACATCATGCAGTTTTCACGTATTCAGATTAAAAAGACCTTGTATAGCAGTTTTACCATCTTTCGAGGGTAATGTATTTGAAATTAACTTTTTCTTAATAGGCACTTCTAGCCCATAAGGAAGTCTTTAAATTATTCTTGATGCAACTCCACAATTCAATAGTCATGATATTTTTCCTTATTAATACGAGAATAAATTTTACGATGATGCCGCCATCCTTAAAGGAAAAACACAAAACGTCAAGCACTGCAATTCTCCCGTTTCCAACTTCTGAAAAACTTATATCCACATTATAGAACCTTACTCCTATATACTTTCCATACTTAACACACAGACAATGGTTTTCTTCACATCACGGCAGCAGTGCTTCAGTACAAGAAATGAGCATGTTATTAGTCACTTTTCCAAGGCATACAATACTTAATATTGAAAAAAAAGGAAAGTCAATAATTAAAAAGCATGAAGCCCATATTCTAAAAGCACCAGGTAAAAATGCAGTTATGTTGTATAAGAAACAAAATTAGTAAACTTTTGCCTAATTACATATTACCTCATTAATTACCTTTTCCATGCCAAAGATAAGGAAGGAATAATACCAAATCACTAATATAAGAAAAAAGTTGCAATTTTTAAGTGCTACGACGCAAGCCACACAAATGCGCTAAACTAGGATTAAATCAAATCATTCAGATCATTTTTTTAAATGACATCTTTACCACTGAAAAATTGTAGTTCATAAAGTTATCCTTCAGAATTTAAAGTAATTCCTGTGTTTTGCATTTTTGATCATCTAGAAATGACAGACTTAAATTACCTCTGGTATTCCCAGTTTTCTACATGCATCCAGAAAGTTTTCCACATTTCTCCTGCATTTGGCCATGCTAAGTTTAGGCTGTAAAAGCAAATAAAAATAAATTTATGGCAAAAGACGTCAAAAACATTTATTCAGCCAATTCACTTATTGCATTATTCTTATACTGATGAGAACATAAATTTCCATATTTCTTCTTAAAACAATGCATGAAATTCTGCTGAACTTGTTTCTCTACTACTGTTAAAACATGCCTACAAACAATATCTGAGTACACAGATACCATGTGCTTTTACTTAGTTGTTAAAATCACGAGCATGTTTAGATCACAAGCTAGACACGAATAAGATCCTACTTGTTCACATCTAGCTTGTGAGGTTCTAAAACTTTCCTCTTACAATGACTTGTGATAGACAACATTGATTTTCTGGACAGCAAGTAAACTGATGAAGGATTTCAGCACACATTATGGAGAAGCCACTTAACTGTAATTAACAGGCTCTCTTTAAATTTTTTATGTACTCACAGATGTATAGTAACTATACACAATTTTAATTGTCTCTGAAGTAGAAATCTCCTATTACTCTTGAATTTCATGTACTTCCACAATTTGTCTCACTCCAGACTATTCACTAAATACTTACAGAAATATCATGCTAATAAAAACTCACCAAAACCAACTCATTATTTTACTTTTTCAGTGCAAGATGTGAAACAATGGTACTTCCCAGAATATCCACTTAAACCAAGAATTCACTATAGGAGCAGGGATTTTAAAGAACTAATTTTCTAGGCTAAAGTAATTTGAAGGATGTTTCATGAAAGAGAACACCATCAATATAAAGTTGAAACAAAACGAAAATGGATTTTAAGTATTTGCTTTTTGCTACAGAAAACATCGCAAGGTGTTTATAAACAAACAAAAAAAATCCACAACAAAACTTAAGGTTTTACCCCAAAAATTCAAGTTTGCATATTTTAGCAATGTGGTAATTTTACTAAAGACGGAAGTAAGCTAAAATCCAGGAATAGCAAAAGAAACCCCACTAGAGTATCTGAGAAAATGTCTTTTTCTTGACATCTGTCTTCTGGGAAGTTATTATAGATTGCTCAAAAATCCACATGCTACTCTCAGAATCGAGTATCAGGCTGCACATAGCAAGTTTTTACCAACGTGTATGCTAAAAAATAAAAGGTGGATAGTCTAAAAATATACAAAACCTCTTCAGAACCAGACTGGTAACAGAAATCCGAAACAATGATATGTCCAAGAAAGAGACATCAGGAAACAGAGAAAACACTAAGAAAATTAAGTTTTGAGAAACGAACACACATAGATTACATCAAAACACTTATATCATGAAATAATCAGGTACGTAGGTTTGGCAAGGCAACATTAAATCACTACAGTGCATCTTTCCATTACGTTCTGTTTGGAGATAAAAGGAATAATTTCTACATTTAACCCAGCAGGAAAAGCATGCTAATAAACACGCTAATAGGTGTTTTAGCAATGTGACAACTGCTAAGCCAAATATTAATGAAGTTAATCTCGTATTTTTTCAATTTACAAAGGGCTAATTTCCTTTTAAAAACGGTCTCCCAGATAAAAACCTTGCAATCACAGAATTCCATACTGTACTGAACAAAATGGCTCTTATGAAAAAATAATCTGATCTGTTGATAAATCAGAAAGAGGCAGAATAATTTCATTCACTTACAGATGTGTATGTATACACACACTATATAGATATATAGAATTTACAGTAGATACATTTTGTATATATTTGTATACAATTTGTACCATATGTATATATTTTGTATTATAGTAGATACGTTTTGCCCTGACAGCAAAGAATATTCACTGAACAGCAGCCTGGTTTACATAACCAAATAGAATTTGGAAATAAAACAGCAATTTTTAAAAATTTCCTCTCTTCCTCCCCCCAGATGCAAGAAGAAACATCTAACTTACTACTGCTGGTGAAGGTACATGAATACTTGCTACAGACCGAGGACGAACATGATTTACTAAATGGCAGAGAACTACACCATCCATCAGAGCAGACCCCAGGTCTTCAGGCAAACAAATCTTTAGTCTTGTTTCAATGTTCTGCAAATGAAGAACACAAGCACACTTTAATACGGAAATGGATGAAGGGGAAAAAAGAAACAGAATATATATTCTCATCTTCTTATATGCTGTAGACACACAGCCAATTTGGGAGTTTTGGTTCACCGAGGACCATACTTCCTTTATATAACTAATTCTTTAAAAAAAAAACAACCTAACCTCCTCTACCATATGTTTGCCACTGAATTATGTAAATGTCTTTAAAACAATTAAAGATTTCAAACACTGCTTTCATAATATGCATTTATTTTTTACATACATATGAAAATATATAAGCACGCTATTAGCCATATGACCGCACTACATGTGGTTCCTTCCTTTCCCCAGTCCCTCAAGTCTTCTACTTATCCATCTCAAATTTTCTTTATCATTCAGCACTTTGAATCAGAACTATGCTGTGTTAAGCACTGTACAAGCAGAGAGTAAACAGCAATCTTTAACTACTAGCCTAAAAATTACTTTGGAAGCATTAGAGAGATCAGAAATGGAGGTAAGGTAAGGTAAAACATTCAGATTTAAACAAGAAATTTTGGGTAACTGTTAAGCAAAACTGAAGTCTCACTGAATAGAAATATTGCAAAATAAAATACTAAAAATATTCCAGGAAAAAAACCTATAATAAGATAGTTATATATGATGAGTTTCCTAAATTGTGCTCCAGTCTTCAACACTATACTTAGAGATAACTCTTAGTTTAACTTTCAGGAGATAATTACTTCTGTGACCTTAAAATAGATATTTCTTATTCCTAGTTGAACCTCCTTAATGTAGGTACTCTCTATTAATACATTACCTCAATCTATGCTGGGTGTTTTAGACAAAAATAGATTCTTCTCTTTAGAATCAAAGGAGAGTGTAGGCAGAAAGGCATTTCTGAAGGTAACCTGGTCTAACAAATTTGAATTGAGATCAGAGCCTTGGCTAGTTAAGTTCTTGGATATCTGCAAGGAAGGAGATCCTGCATCATCTCTAGGTAACCTTGCTCAGTGTTTCACCAACCTTATTGCAAAGAATTTCCTCCTTATAGCTACTTGTAACTTATTTCTCTGTAATTTCTGCCACAACATCTCACTCTTTGACTGTGCATCTTTGAAAAGCCTGACTTTATTTTCTCTATTACTACCTGGGAGGCAGCTGAGGACAATCATATGATACTCTAAACACTCTCTTTTCCACCCTAAAGAAATTTAGCTCTTCTGCCTCATACATATTTTGCTTGGTTGCCCTCATCATGAAGTAGCCTCTACCGAGCTCACTCTGGGGCTTCATTATATTTTCCCAGATTTTCTTTTACTAGACACCATAGTCAAGCACTCACATACATAGTCTCACAAGTGCCAAACAGGGGAGTGCATCATGTGCAGTAATATAATGGGTTTTTTCACCTTGGATTAATTTGTAGATTACAGAAATCATCCACACTACAGCAGCAGCCAATTTGTTCCACTTTTCATGTTAAAACCATTAAATGTTTATCCTTTAAGTGACAAAAAAAAAAAAAAATCAACTGGTATTTCTTGCTAGACTGCTGCTCAAGTGTAAGTGGCAAATCACTCTCAAGACAATAGGTATCTGAAGTGACTATGGATGTATACAAAATCAAATGGAGGAAAAATAATTATGTCTCTGAAGCAAAAAGTTGTATGAAGTGAAGTAATTTCTGTAAAAACACACCATTCTAAAGAAAAGGGGGAAATGTATGGAAGAAACCTCAATGTCCTCACAATATGAAGCTCAGCTGAAGAGGCTCTGCTGAAGGCAACTGTATTTTGTTTTCTAAATAAGGAACCCAAGTACTGTACTAGTCGTTCCTTCTTGTTTAATGCCACTTGGTTAAGGCTGCAGGTTCTGTACAGTCTCACTACATTTTAACATACTATGAAACATTTCAAAAGCAAAATATACTAACAGGTCAATAAGTATAAACTTAATAAGTGATATGTTCTGGGCTATATTCTTGTGCAGTACCTAGTAAGATGGTCTGGAGGTTACTTCACTCACTGTAGGACCCAGAATAAACTTTATTAATTCAAAAAAATCTCTGTCTAGCTTCTGTCACCAGTCCTTGACTTGTAGTCAAGCTTCTCATAAGAGACAAGAGAACTTTCATTTCAGGACACAGTGCTTCAGGGTGAGGGCAAAGGATAGTGCACGAAGCTGAAGATCAATAACAGATTAAATCAGTGTTACTCGTAATAGCTAATACTAATTCAGTGTAGAAAAATCTTATTAAGTCCCCATGATCATAGTGAATAACCTTGCTATACTTTTCACTGTTAGGATTAACTGAACTAATGCCCAAGGCAGTAACTTTGAGGACATTATTTTTAGGAACAGTTACTTGGGGACTTGCTACATACTTGTGGTAATTCTTTAAAGAAATGTAAAAAAGCTGCACTGATGCTGCTGACTAGAATAAGCTCAAAAGAACTACCTCCTAGTGCAGTTTATTACTGATGCTACCATTTTCCTCTCCATTACCAAGAAGTCTGTCTCATCTAATTCCTGCATGTCGTTCTGCGGAAGTAGTATTGTCTCATTTAACCTTTTTAATATTCTCGTACTTAGACAACTTTCCCAAAGAAAAATTAAATATACATTCCATTAACACAAATTAATTCTACCAACACTCATGTACCTCACGTAGCTGTTCCACAAGCTCTCTCTCTTCTCTCATCTGTTCCATTTTCCTTCGAATTGTAAATTGTGGATCTATTGATTCCAAATTTCTTTGTGGTCTTAAGAACACTGTGATTTAAAAAAAGACAGATTTAGTGTAAAAGCAAACACCTTGATTTATTAATTTCTAAATGAATCAAAATCCTTAGGCACTACCTCCAGCAAAAACTCAGGAGGACAGAAAAATATGATCTTGGATTACAATCATAAAAGGGTATTTTCTGGATATTGCTCTCAATGGCATTGTGTATCACCAATGGAGTGGAAAATTTTCCAACTAAATCCTAATCTTAATGAACAAGTTTTGTCAGAGGATTAAGCACTCACACTGTCCCTACAGATCCTGATCTGTACAAAACTTTGTATCTAACATGACAGGAACACTTCTTCTTCTACGTAGAGCCCTCTCCTACAAGATGCTGAATTGTGTAACAAGCATCTTCCTACAGAGGACAAACTGCTTACTAGATAAGTTTATATTAAAAAAATTAACCAAAAAAACAAACCACCCCCACCCACCAAATAAAAACTGATGTAGGCATGTTTAGCCGTTGAGTAAAACTACCTACATTAGAAAGTTTTATTGCAAATATAGCATTGCACAAACTCTTCACAGTACTGGTCCTCCTTCCCCTCTACTCTACCCTGGTGAGACCGCATCTGGAATACTGTGTCCAGTTCTGGGCCCCTCAGTTCAAGAAGGACAGGGAGCTGCTGGAGAGAGTCCAGTGCAGGGCAACGAAGATGATTAAGGGAGTGGAGCATCTCCCTTATGAGGAAAGACTGAGGGAGCTGGGTCTCTATAGTTTAGAGGAGACTGAGGGGTGACCTTATTAGTGTATATAAATATATAAAGAGGTAGTGTCATGAGGATGGAGCCAGGCTCTACTTCAGTGGCAAACAATGATAGGACAAGGGGTAATGGGTACAAACTGGAACGCAAGAGGTTCCACTTAAACTTGAGAAGAAACTTCTTCTCAGTGAGGGTGATGGAGCACTGGAACAGGCTGCCCAGGGAGGTTGTGGAGTCTCCTTCCCTGGAGACATTCAAAACCCGCCTGGACACATTCCTGTGTAACATTATGTAGGTGTTCCTGCTCTGGCAGGGGGATTGGACTAGATGATCTTTCAAGGTCCCTTCCAATCTCTAGCATACTGTGATACTGCCTCCCACCAATCTTGTGGACTGTATAACTTTGCCCATATATAGTTCCTTGAAATATTGACATGAAATCTCTGCACATATGCACCTCTATGTTTCCTTTTTATGTGATGACTTTTTTGAATGGTTCGGAAGAACAAGATCATGGACGCTCAGAATGCAACTGTCACCTGTTTGTCACTCAAATTACAGGCCAACCTGATTATTATGGAAAACGATACTACTTGAAAAAAGTGTTTTGCATTATTTACTTTCCCACCTCTCTCCTGAACGTGACATGAAACCCGAAGTACTAATTAGTGGGGTGTAAAGTACAAAGCCTAGAAACCTCTGTTTTTACATACAGGTACTGCTCAGTCTGGATTTTGTTAACTTAAGGCCATTAAAGAAAGAGAAGATAATTTATGGGTCAATACATAGCAGGGTAGAAGAGAGGAGCCTTTTGCTTTGTAAAAGGCACATCAGAAAACTGGAAGTGAATGAATTGCCAATAGAACCTACTAGAGGAGTAAAACCAGATTACTTACACTTAACTGTAAGAAAGTTACACATGGGTGTAATGACAGTAATTCTGATGTTCCAATAAAAACTGTGCCACATCAGTCATTTTATTTAGGTTGTAATTTGCGCTGAATTTTAAAAATCTGCCCTCAACAGATCTAACAAAATAAAACATTGAACCCTTGGTAGAAGGATTTTTCATCTATATTCTGACAAAAAGTAAACTATTAATGAAGTCCCCAGATCAGTTCAGGGTCAATATACAAAACTGTACCCTCTGATATTTAGAGCAAAGTTTCTGCACGAGAAATACTTTGAAATCTCAGACAAGGCTAGTTACTAGGAATCTCACCCAGCTGTACGCAGGCAGGTTAAGTAACAGAATTAATAATCTTAACTAATTATTGAGCCAAAGGTACAGACAGACACTACCTATGGCAGTTCAGCCAACAGGCACTACTTCTTTACCTTATTTACTGAAAAAGAGCTCAAGGCAACAAACTCCTTACATATTCTTAGGCTACTCAACTGAGGCTACACAGGGCTAGTACATGGACCCTCAGACTGGCCTATACACATAGATACTGTTAATGTTGCTGCTTCCTGGTACAGTCTTGGCTTCTGCAAACCCACCTCTCTTCTATGCAGTGTTTAGGAATAGCTCAAGGAATAGAACAGGCAACAGACATTCCCCAAAGGCAGCTTAAATGCAGCTATCCTGTTCTGGAACATAAAAGGTATGCTTAGGTATAGATTTGAATCACACTGGGCCAATTAGCCTCAGTGCCAGAGAAGGGTCGCTGTTCCATTTTACTTCCTACCACAGGAAGATACACCTTGGGTAACAAACAGCCTCAGGGAACAAACTCTAAACAGAAAGGCAACAGGCCTGATTAAAAGCGGTCTTCTGTTGTAAAAGTGCACTAGAATTTGCATTTTGCTTAAGGTTTGCACGACATGAAGACATCTACCCCCCAAGTGCACAAGCACACACTAGCCTGTACTGCTTGTTTCATTTAGAAAAGTAAAACAGTAACAAATCCAGATAAACATAAATCAAATTGTACACTGATAGAAGAACCTCTAGCCTACCGTGTTAGAATATTCATCAGCAAAATGTCAAGTTAACTTCATACCATCATGAACTAAATTCAGTTTTTCAACTTACTATTATCACAATTCTTATATTCCATACTCATTTCCTTTATGGAGCTGATTCCTCATATATGCTGTCTTTTATGGTTTTATAATCAAAAATACTGTGGCAATAACGAGTACTGTTAACTAATGAACTGAACTAAGAATATGGGTAGTCTAAACTAAATGTTGGCATTTATCATTCAAGACTTGTGGGTTTGGTTTCTGTCTGATGCTTTTGACAGTTTCACAGCCTTCAAATACCTAAACACTCTTCTAATTTAGGGCAACTGGAAGAGCAATGGTCCTATATAAAAAAACCCCACATCTACCTATCAAATATTTATAAACAGTTTTATTGTCTAGGTTGTTTCTTCCATCTAACAATTCATATGCATAATTTATATGCAGTATAAGACCCTCATAGCACAAACAGAGCCAATTTTGCATACTGGCGCCATGATCCAATGGTAATTAAATAATTAAAACAATCATATGCCCTGGACAAAAACAAATCAAAAGGATAAGTAACAAAGTCCACTAATACATGTGGCCTTCACTATGCAGATTTCTGTTGGACAGAAATCACTATTTTTGCTTAGCTGATTGCTTCAACTTCGTTTCTTCATGAAGCTAGTTTCTTCAATAAGTTAGTTAAGCAGGTGCTTAACTAATTCAGTTAGTTAAGCACCTGCATCAATAACTGCAGATAGGAGCATGACCAGCAGGTCGAAGGAGGTGATCCTGCCCCTCTACTCTGCTCTCATGAGACCTCACTTGGAGTATTGTGTGCAGTTCTGGTGTCCTCAACATAAAAAGGACATGGAACTGTTGGAACAAGTCCAGAGGAGGGCCACGAGGATGATCAGGGGACTGGAGCACCTCCTGTATGAAGACAGGCTGAGAAAGTTGGGGCTGTTCAGCCTGGAGAAGAGAAGGCTGCATGGAGACCTCATAGCAGCCTTCCAGTATCTGAAGGGGGCCTATAAGGATGCTGAGGAGGGACTCTTCATTAGGGACTGTAGTGACAGGAGAAGGCGTAACGGGTTCAAACTTTAACAGGGGAAGTTTAGATTGGATGTAAGGAAGTTCTTTACTGTAAGGGTGGTGAGGCACTGGAATGGGTTGCCCAAGGAAGCTGTGAATGTTCCATCCCTAGCGGTTTTCAAGGCCAGGTTGGACAGAGCCTTGGGTGGCGTGGTTTAATGTGACGTGTCCCTGCCCATGGCAGGAGGGGTGGAACTAGACAATCTTAAGGTCCTTTCCAATCCTAACTATTCTACAATTCTACATTTCATCAACAGACAGTCTCTATAATTAAAATAATTAAAACACACGCAGAAAAACAGTAGCAAACATATCTGCTGTTTGAGTACAACTTTTATAAATCCCTGAAAGTAAAGCAAGTAAGTAAACCTATACTGGAAATACTTCTTGGATATAAGGGGAAAAGCCATTTGGCTGCACTTGAAAGCAGTGACATTCTTCACTCATTTACTTTCGATATCACAAATTTTACGGTAAATTAATGTGCATCCTCTGAGGTATGTAGTCTTACAGATGTCCCCTCAAGAGTAGTGTCCTTCATCCTTGGCCACATTGGGCATTTGCCGTATATTCACGTTTCCAAAACCCACAAAATTAAATAAATTACATATGGAACACCTACCATTGTCACTGTCTCCTTCAGATGGGATACTGTAGCTATAGTTGTCCCATGTTTGTGCCTGTGTAAGTGTGTTGAAGGAGATAGGAGGAAGACTGAGGGATGGGTCTGCTGGAGGGGAGCGATAGCCAGTCCAACCATGGACTGGAGTGGGGATAAAAGGGGGCAGCAGTATTTCATATGGCATTAGGATTGTATGGTAATGACGAAGATGTAATTCAAAGGTGATTAATATAAAATGTATCATTTTTGAGAAAAGAATGAAAGATGGTGCAGAACAAAAAGAACGAAAAGTTACATGTTAGTACTTGCAAATCATACATTCTATGTGCAGTTGAGGCTGTTAAGCTTAGCAAGATCATTGTAACCATAGCACTTCACACAACTTGTTTACAACCAAGTGTTAAGAAAATGTACCCATAGGTTTTACAGTATAGCCTGACAAAAACCTCGACTCTGTGATTCAGAAGCAAAATGTAACAGCTGGATATATTTATTGTGAATTTTCAGCAATTGTGAAGTTTCAGCAATAAAAAGTTCAGAGAATAAGAATTTTGATATTTTTTTGTAACTATGTGGGAAGAACACTTTTTCCCCCAAAGGAAAAATAACATATCCATATGAAAATATTATTACATTGCAACTTTCTAGCTGATTTTGATAAGTAACATCTACAATAGCCCTTGGATTCTCATTCTGTTGAAATATGTTCTGTAAGTACATGTATTACAGACGTTTTACTTTTGTTACAATTCACTTGATAGTACATGCAGGACTATTATTTCTTCTTGCTGACTCCTGCAGCAGTAAGTCCAAACCTACCAGAGCCCAGCACCCTAGGAAATTTCTGGCAGTCCACAACTTTTACAGACTTTCAGGGACAAGAACACATATACAATACCTCCAAAGGGTGATTCTGAGTTTACACCACAAGCCTTGGCAAACCTGCACTGTCGACAGTCTTAACACACACAAATTCAGTAATGATGCAACTGGGCTCCCAAAAGCATGCAAAACTGCACATTTTCACAGAAGCTGCAACAGAGTCTGGAGACTATTTATCAGACAACTGTAAGTGCATGTCATGCCTACAGCTCATGATGGCCCACCAGCTCATCACAGAGCTAAACCTGTACAGCAATACACTTCTTATTCTCCACCCATTCTGCCTTCTCCCCTTCGAGTCATGGCAACAGCTCTTATTTATTCCTCAAATCCTTTAGTGGCCATTTTTATTCTTTCCTCACCACACCTACTCGACAGTCCTGTCTCCTGTCATGACTGTGGCAAGGATGTCTAAGTTTTTTTCAAACCTCCATTCTACAGGTGTTTCAGAACTGGACACTGACCTCCTCCCTTGCTTCAGTTTTCAAAGCTTCCCACTGGTTTCCTATTTTCTGACACAATTTAGTATCTCCTCCTCTGCCCTTCACAATGATGTCACTCCTTAACAAACTTTTCCTATATTTCACAACATTTCTTACCAATTCTGCCACAAAAATTATGAACTCTCTCACTTCTTGTTTTCCTATATACATTTCAATGTTTTAGCTACTGAATACTACACACAAGCAACATTCATTCTCCTTAAATGAAACTGCAGATCATGAACTACTCCTACTCTAAATGCTAAACCATAACCCTAAATCAATTTAAAATTATGGTGAAAATCAGCAGCTAAAACAATTTAATATTAGAAGAAAGTTTAAGGTAAAGTTTCAGTAAGCACAGAAAGTCCCTATCTTATACCATTCCAAATTAATAATCATAAAGAACTTAATCACACAGACTTTCTCCTTCCCACAATTCCGCAATCTGTATTAATATGATTATAATTCATATAGTGTCATATAAAACTTCACCTTAAGCTTTTCGTCACATTCAGCCGTTCAAGAGCTCACTCTCTTTAGCCATGTCTTTTTTCAAACCCAGTGTACTCCAGGCTATTGGGACACCAGATTAGCTGAACCTGAGAGTCAGCACAACTGAACCTCTAAGGAGACACAACACTGGGTAAGAGAATACAGATTTATGGCAAATGATAAAACAGTCTTTAATTATGGTGGCAGCTAGGATTCTCATTATTTTCCAAAACACATGGATAATGCAGTTAGGGAAGAAAACAAATGGAAGTAATAAATATCCAGAGATTAGAAAAACTCAAAAGTTAGCACTCAAAAGGGGAAAAAATACTGTCAAGTTCTAATGATCTCTGTGTATTCCAGCCAACTTGAAAGACAGTCAAGCAAGCACATCCACTGACACTAACATTATGCTTAAAATCCTCTACAAATTACCAAAAATGAAGACACTGGATTCACAAACAAGATTATGCTAAGTAAACATACTTAGTTTTCACTACTTAGTTTTCACAAACAAGTTTTCACTTCACAGTAGAAACTACTTCTTGATTTTGAGTTTCGTCAATGATGCTTCTAGCCTCTGAAGGTATAACTTTTTATTTTGTCTGTGTTGCTGCTACCTTGTGTTACCTTGTTATACTTAGGTGTTAGCAAAAATAATTTTAGTACTACCTTTAGAGTAATTCTAGGGTGGGAGCAGGAGAGGAAACAACACGCAGCTTCAACACTCCTTTGTTACAGTGACCTCAAAATGCCCAGCCCAAAGGCAAAAAAATATTCCTGAGTACTGAAAGATTTATTAGTAAGTGGTCAGGCTTGCAGATCTGACACATTAAAGAGACCATGGCAAGAATTTTTGCAACACTCAAGTTTCAAGAATTAGCAACATTATAAACATTGTAATCAATTAACAAATCAAGCACAGAGAGTTTACATTTCTTAACTATTTTGAGTGATTCCTTTTCAGACAGAAAAAGCACTTCCCAAGGGCAAAATTATAGTTCTACAAGACCTTATTTTTTAATTATTCATTCTTTTCAACAGTATTTTTTTTAGGTTTTCAAAATTAATGTGACTTTGAGACGCCAAACTCTATTAAGGTATTTAAAATACAGGAGCAAATAGTCTGAGAAAAATAAGAAACCCTGTCTTTTTTTCTATTCCATATAAACATCTGACCCTCAGAAAGAATCTCTCAAGAAGTCAAAACACATTCATTACCTTTCAAAACATTTCCTTTGGGTACCAAGTTAGCCATCAAATACGAATTTTCCTGATGTTTTGCCTAGCTTTAATATGCAAGAAAAGGATCTTCAGTCCTAAGCACATATCAGTATGTACTAACACAGTATGTACTAAAACACAGATGTTTAAGTCACTGTGGTTTATCCTCTGGAAGCACTTCCATTTCTGTGTGTACTTCAAAAACCTGGAATCCTTACCAGTCTAGAACAGTTTACTTTCACCTTTCCAAGAGACATAAATCATTATGAAATGATGGGGGAAGAAGGGAGTGATGTCAAATGGAAAGCAATATTCATTTAAAATAGAGGAAAACAAACACAGTGAAAGGTATGGTTGCATGTATTTTCATTGAAAATTTGCCACTACTTTTTCCGCAGAGCATGTTGTTCACATTTTAGTTACAACGATGTTCTTCTAATCTTGCACTCTGATTTAAAAGATCTATAGAATAAAGTAGTTCAAATGTAAGACCTAATGAAGTTTTGATGATGTTAATGAAGTTAATGAAGAATGCATTTTAAGGTTTCCCTTAAGACCACAAAAGCTTAAATGAAAACCGCTACTGAAATAAACTACAAACTTAGCTGAAAAACTTTCACAGATCACCAAATTGCTGGACCTCTAGACTAGATCAGCTCTAGGGCAATAAAGCAGTATATAATTAACATGTACAAATTCAGACAGTGATATGGCTCAAACTCACACAAAACACACAACATTTTAAAGGAAATACAGTGAAGAAACTAGAGACAAGGCAAACTAACCAACTTTAATGGGAAAAACATGCAAGACTCACAAAGATGCCAGTATTTTCAGTCATGTGCTACTTTTATTTGTAAATTATTCTTAGGTGTTAGAAAAAATGATTTTAGTACTACTTTTAGAGTAATTCTAGGGTGGGAGCAGGACAGGAAACAATATGCAGCTTCACGACTCCTTTACAAACTTTCATTTTGTTACATTGTGATACACAGATAATATACCATCTTTTTATCTTATGCTGGACCTAAATTTTTGCTGTTGCCAAAATCCCCTGTCTTACTAGTGTATAAATTTAAGGTAACATGACTGAAATTGGATGCAATGAAGTGAAAGACTGTGCAGTAATGGTTCTAGCTTGGTGACTGTGTAGTGTATGATATGGAAAGGAAAATAAATTCCGATTATCAAGTTTTTTGCAACCTGTAGCTGTGACCAGAAGACACTATAGCATTGGCATACTCTAAAAAACCTCAAATATATGAATGTGAATTGGTACAATGCAGAAAATTAACAGATTATAACCAACTGACTTTGGTATTCAACGACTCAATATACAGCTGCAATATAGACAGGGGAAGAACTGTAGGAGCTGCACACATCTGGTCTTCCATTATGTGACTTGGAAGATTTGTTGCAAAGGACTGCAACCATTGCAACCCAAAAGATTCACTAGGCTATTTTGCCCTGACCTGTTGTAGACATTAAGTATAGGACATCTCAGTGCACCGATATACTAAGATTTGAGAGTGCGCATTAAAACAACGCTTGAGCAAGAAGTCACATTCTTGCTTTCTCTCCCACAGTACTGCTTCAAGTCCCTGGATACAGATTTCACCAGCAGCTCAGCAGAACACAGGCTACATCTCATGAAAGCAGCAGCATGGCATGTGCCTGCTTGCCTTCACACATCTTTCTAACAGTGTTATTGCAATGTTGCCACCAAACTGTGCAATATTACTCAATGCTTTATTTTTTCCAAATCCTGAAAGGACCCATTGTTAACCCCACACTTCAAAGATTCCAACAAATAGCATCTCTAAAGCATACAGTAATAGAGCCAGAGTAACAGTCCAACAAAATAAGAAATGCAACAGAATAGTTCTGTCAAACTGTATATCATAACTACATGGGAAATTTAAAATATCCTCTTCATGAAACAACATTGGTTCAATACCATTTTCTTTACTTTTTAAAACTTAAAGAAAAAGTCTATGGGTACAGTTTCTTAAACATTCCAATGTTAAATTGTTGCTATTACTGCCAAGACATTTTGTTATAGAAACTACAAGCTTGTAGTGGTTCACCAGCATTTCATTAAAAGCATTTGTGGTGAATGCGAGAAACCAGAATTAGAGTGTTAGGATGCTGAAATATACTGAAAAATCTTCAGTTAATCTTTAGATGTGGTATGAGATGACGACAATACCAACTACCTCAGCGCAGAAAAGATAAAACCTGAGTTTAATCCTGCAGCTAATCCTGTTTTTACAGAAAGCTGTTATCCAAGCCCTTAAACGCATCTGTATTTCTGTTGGTGGTGGTTTGTTATTCAGTTGGGTTTTCTTTTAATGAACAGCTGCTTGTTAAAAGATTGATGGTTATGCAGATTTAGTGCACTGCAGATTCATTAAACCCAGCTACTGGCTGAAGTAAACTTCTAATATTCCTATGATGCTTGATCCTTACCCAAGCATAAACTACTGAAAAACTCACTGCAATGAACAATTTTCAGAGCAATGCATAAGCAGTTTCCAAACAAACCTAGTGTCCTGGGTTCACATACATTATTCAACAAAATCTAAATTGTATCACTACATACCAATTAAGCAAAAAACTGTAGTTCAGTCACTATGGCAGCACAGATGATACATATGTATATATGCATAATACATATATCTATACACACATTTTGTAAACACACATACATATAATTTTATCAAATACCTAATTGATCCATATATAATGTGCCAAATACATGTTACAAATTCAATCTTGATTCAAACCTATAACCTTAAAATGTTCTAATCTTCTGTTATACAGAAAATATTTTGTCACTGACTTCTTAAGAGAAAAAGGCACCTATTAATAAGACAGATGTGTATATATATATACACACACACACACACACAAGAAGTACACACAAATTGGTTCATTTTCTTGCCCGCATTACCTGATCGTGGCTTCAAGCCAAAAGGGATTGTGGTGTTTGTAGTAGGAGACATTGTTGGACTTTTATCCTTGTTCTGTGTAATTCAAGAACAGATATCTAAGTAAGAGTAACATCCAAAATATCTCAGCACAAGAGACTATACAAAATACAGAAGTAAACAATACTGCATGCTATAATTATTCCACCGTAATCTGTTCACGATATAGCCTCAAACCTATGATAAACTCCACTTTCTATTGTATCTTATTCCTTTGCTGGAAAGGATGAGTTTCTGACCAAAGACACCAAAATATTCCCCCTCACTACAAATAAGCTCAATTATTTCTCGGTTTTCTCCCATGTAATCACTTGGTTCCATCAAACGTACATTTTTGTGGCACAGTACATTTAGAAAAACAAAGCAAAGACACATTTATAATTAGATACATTAATTTCTTTCACAGAATTAATTACCATTAAATTTAAACATACACCTCAGAGCAGGACCACCCTTGACTCAAAACTAGGCTGAGTTGCAGCAGGAAGAGTCGAGTAGCAGCATAGAGGAGATGGTGAGGTACGATAATCATACTGTCAATGGTAACATAGAAAGGGACCTATCACCATACTCCATAATGGAAGCCCTATTTAAAAAATTATTCACTATTTAAAAAGTGATCCCTCAAGAAGCTAGGATCTATAGGAGTCCCATCACCAAGAGTGGTGGAAGGTGGCTGGGTGCTAATGAATTTGCAAGTTGTTCATACACAGTATGATGCAGAGGGAGAAGCCCTATTTCTGCATAGAAAATATGAAGGTAAAAAATCTCCATATTGGGCTCCCTACACTTTCTCTTTTTGATCTTCTGCTCAGATTTGTACTGTGAAAATGATAGGATCAATAAAATCAGGCTCCTCTCTGAAAACTAATCAAGGACATGACACAATGTGCACAAAAACTGCACTGAAACCACTAGAAACTCTTGTGCAACAAGGAAGCATCAAAAAAAGGGAAAATCACAGAATGGTTTGGGTTGGAAAGGACTTTAAAGATCATTTAGTTCCAACCCCCGCTGTCATGGGCAGGGACACCTTCCACTAGACCCAGCTGCTCAAAGCTCCATCCAACCTGGCTTTGAACACTGCCAGGGATGGGGCAGCCGCAGCTTCTCTGGGCAACCTGTGCCTGTGTCTCATCACCCTCACAGCGAAGAATGCTAAACTGCGTAACTCAAACAAGTTTATTGGAAAGTATATTTTATACCCTAGTAAATCCTTAAGATGACAATAAACCACAGGCCAAATAAGACACACCACCATTTTTTTAGGAGCTCAGTCATATTTTCTGTGATATCTGATTATGTTTCATTTAGTATATAAACTATTTATATGAAACATGTAAGAGACAAACAAATGTCACTAGTACCTTACCTCATTATGAGAGGTTTGTCCACCTGTATTCCAAACAACTCGATCATTCTGCATGTTTGGAAAAGAAGAAGGAAGGGGAGGAGGTGGAGAAGGAGAAAAGAAGATTTCAGCAACTATATTAGTGATACATCACAACAGGAGATTTTACTCATTATACTCAGATACAAATTAATACTTAATTCATTTTTTTTTTACTGAAATAATTTATTTTCATGAATAATAAACACTTGTATTTCTAGTAGACCAAGACTTTTAAAATTATTCTCAAAGATTTTTCATTAATGTTTTAATTTCAATCTTAAGTAATTATAACTGCTTTTATAAGATTTAATGCTTGTTGTTCAAATGCAGTATCCAATTTTGTATCAGATTTTTTTGTAATTAAACTATCATCAAACATTTAATATGCAAATGTTTTAAATATATATTGGAAGAGGGAAGTATTCCATAATAAATTCATTTTATAACTGCAAAATAACATACCTTTTGTTACTACTTCTGTTGTAATTAAATTGGAAACATGTAAATCACATTAATAAACATGAAATACAATCATTAATTCTGCATCAATCATGTATCAGCAGAAGCACAATCCATGTGTACAATGGCATATGTAAAAACAAATCATAATTCAAAAGCATTTCCATTTCCTTAGGGGCATTTTTTTTAGTAGCTAAAAAATGGGAACACGAATAAATGACAGTACTTGGAACACTTGGTCCCAACAGTCAAAGAGCTTTCCAAAAATTAGCAAGATGGGATGTAGGATTACACACTCATTTTGCTTTATGACCTTTCTTGGATATTTTTCAAGATTAAAGGAAATTCTTCAGCTTTAGACATCTCTCATAATACTATCTCAACCACTGTATTACCTAGAATAAACAGAAATTCCACTCATCTGATCTCAGCCACTCTACCTGGGACTTGTACGCTTGAGCACTCCTGTGCTCAGGGATTATGTTCTTGTTAAATTCCTGCTCTTTATGCCTCCATTGAAGGTTTAATCTCTCTTATAGCATGCAGGTCACTAGTCAGAATTTTTAGTTTATGATGAATTTAATTAATTTAGTAGCACAAGTAGTAACACAAGCATTTACTGTACTACACAGATTGTAGCATTATTAAAAACTTGCTCTTGAAAGAGCAGTTCCCAATTCATGGAACATGCCTAGTGATTCTACCTGCATAATAAAATCCAGATCAGGATCTCTACAAGCGTTCAAGATTTATTTCTTCAAGAGATTCTTAAAAAATGAATCAGCAGTGTCCTTGTTAAACAAAACGCAGAGACCACACATATCTTGATACTGGACTAGCCTTATGTGATAATCTCAGTAATGTAGTATGAACTGTTCCACAAAGTGTAGCAGTCCCAACATACGATATAACAAAAAAAAAAAAAAAAGAGTTGGTTTAATTTTGTATCTTAAAGAAAAAACAAAGATACATTCAGACTAACAAAATCACAAGGATATAATGGGAATATTTGATATTAATGATGATTACATAATAATATTTGAAAAGCATCAAATTCAATCTATGTCTGGATAAGGTAGAACATATTAAGGCACTACCAATACAGAAAGAACATTATGTAAGTTTGTTCTCAGAAACTTCTTGCAAGAGCAGTCACAAAAATCCCTATACAATCAAGTTCTGAAGTAATAATGTATGCACCAAATATTTAAAGTAGTTTTTTCATAGTTCCTTTATTTCTAGATCATTCCAAGGTACAGAAAACTTAAAATATTTTGGAAACTTTAAAACTGTAATCTCAACCTATATATCGGCTGTTTGTAATATTAAACACTTTAAAAATACTGCTGCTGTTAACAAAAACATAGCAGCGTATATAGCTACAAGAGTAATCAGGGTGAGTGGGATGATGAATCAGGTGTTTTATTTTATGGAAAATCCAACCTTGAGGTGCCTTATTTTTGCAGGGGAATGCAACCACTGCATCTACTATAGTTTTTATCAGAAGGAAGGAGTCCTCCGTCTTATTAATTTCATTATATCAGTTTTTTGACACAAGAGATGGGTCTTAATCAACTTCCCATTTATAGCCAAATGTTAAGATTCATGATAAGCCAAAAAACCAAAAAACAAACAAACAAAAAAAACAAAACCAAAGGGCCTAACTTCAGCATAGTCTCCACACACAAATGTTTCCACATTTATTGCATCTAGAAACCTCCATACCTGGCTCAATGACCATTTTTCACCCTGTTCACAAAGTCTCACTTCAGACTTTGCTTTCTCCATAACCAACTCCCTCCTTCTCTGAAATTCTAGCTCCTCTTCAGCATTTTCTCTCTGTAAGATAAATAGCTCTTTAGACTGTGCATCACTGGAAATAGAAGTATATCCTTTTTTGCATAACATTACCTCAGAAGTATTTCTTACAAATACAGTGATAAAAAGCAAACAAAGTAAGTAGATACTATATATTTGCAGTTCCAGTGCTAACAGTTAGATAACATAAAAACAAAGCAATACATAAAGAACACCTGCTTACCAGTGAGGATACAGATCAAATGGTAAGCAGTATATATCACAGTGTAAAACTCCAAATCATACTTTATATACTCTCTATAACTATAGTTATATGTTCCGGCAAAACACTAATGTTTAGTTTACAAAATATGTTGGGGTTACCTTTAATGAACACTTTTCCTGCACCAGAAGAGGGAGATAGTGGAGTGGGATGGTAGACAAGTACACATAGCTGAGCAATGAACTGGCTTACATTGAAAGTTGAACACAGGGAGATTAAAAAAAAACCACTAAGATAAAAAAGCAACTGACAAACCTAGAAAAATGTTATACATACACCTATAAAAATTAAAAAAAAAATCCATAAAAATGTTAAAGAAGAATTAGTTTTGTCCTCTAGCCTACTAAACTTTTCCCTTCCCTACTTGGCAGATTAATAATAGTTAAAATTGTTGGCTTATTTCCTATCTTCCCCCCCATATTTTGTTATAATACACTCATTAACGTACCTGACCAAGGGAAGACATCTCCATCTGCATTTGACCGCTATGTATAAAGATAAACATATGCAAATATGTAATTTCTTATGTAGAAAATTTAATATGATGAGTCTAATAAATAATTTCTTAAAAAAAAGTAGATAAACACACTTTACTGTAGATTCCTGAAATTCTAAAGCTGTTGCTGGTTCCATGGGATACAGATTCACATCACTGCTCTCTGAAATATCCATGCTTAATCTGCAAGGTTTGAAATAAAAACATCGCACTGGGGTATAGCTTTGGTAACCACTTTGTTCAGTATTTCATTTCAAACAAATGGATATATAAAATACTTTAATAGCCATGGTTTTAACCTGCTCAGTGTTATCTCTCAAGAACTTTTTGAAATGCCGCCTGATGCTTCACTGTCACCAGTTGAATCAAAGCAACAGTAATGTTTTCATCTGTAAAATGTCATCCTGAGCAATGGCTTGTAACAAAACAAAAGGACCTGTTTATTGCCAACAATGATACCATTATCTAGAAGACTGTAGATTTCTATATCCAACCTCTAGCACCCTGTGTTCAAAGAGAAGCCACAACCCCAGTTAGATACTCAAATTTAGTTATAGTGGGTGAAAATTAAGCAGTGCAACAATAAATTCACAACTGACAATGACCTGAAAGAAAGCAGTGAATATAAGAAAGGAAATACAGGAATATGAAGCGAACATCTGAAAATACTGAAAGACGTTGAGTCTGAAATATTTTTGCTTTCCAGAACTGAATGCTGTTTGTGTGCACATTGCATATGCAGACTTGAAAAAAATCACATGAAAGTTTTTGTGCATCTTAAACTAAGGAGCAATGGAGGCATTTTAATTCCTTTGTGGATCTGGATAAGGACACAAAAAATATTCAGCATGAAAACCAAAATTTTATCACACTACTTTATATAATGCAAGCATATCACAAACTGCCATGTAATCCAGTAATTATAAAGGAAATTATTACAAAATTGTGGCCCAGAGGACTGAAAAACCTACAGAATTATTTGGCAAGTATTAAGACACCTAGGTGTATCTTGCTGGGTAAGTCTGGATGTTAACATACAGGAGACATACATTCAAAACCCTGTATAATGCCCAGTAAATTAAAGATAAATACTCATATTTTAAGGTTAGAAAAAGAAAGTGCATCCTACTACTATACTAAAAAAAAAAGAAATCCAAACAGTAGAACAATAGAGACATGCATGACATGATCAGCCATTTTTAAGAGCCACATTTTGAATTTACTATAGTGTTACTAATGAAAGCACATCTGAATATGCATGGATAAAGATTAATTTTCTGTAATTTATTAAGAAAAACTAAGTAGAAAATTTTGCAGCAATACCTGGCAAAAGCAAAATGACAAAATCTGTAAAGTTAACAAGTAATAAACTTCATATGAGGTGCAGAAGCAATGGAATATTATAGAAACCACAGGAACTAAAAAGCTTTCATAATTTGTATGATTTTTATTAAGCAAAAATACTTGTGATTCAAGTATTTAGTGTAAGATTCAAGAATTTAAGTATTCTTTATATGATTCAAAATAAAGCCAGATGGCTATTTCTCTAGAAGTACCAACAGGAGTGAATTTCTGTCCTCAAAAGTACAAAGGTCTGCTAGGCGGTAAAGTTCTATCAAAATAGGCATTTAAACTGAAGAACAGCGTAGTCACAAGATGATCCAGAGAAGGAAGGAAGGAGACACAAGGATATTTAAGGCTGGAAGTGACAAGGAGGTTTTTAGCCTTCCAAGAAATGAAGCTGTAAACCAGCTATCTCATAGAAGTAATGAAGAAAAAAGTTTTGAAATTAACTGAATCAGTTTCTGAAGGTAATTACACAAAGAAAAGCAATAGCAAGCATCTGGCCAGAACTACCTACACCACCCTTTTTAGTCTTTTTCAGCAAGACAAGTATTTGTTTTCTATTGAATAGTTATACCTTTATTTATTCACAGATCCAGAGTCATATCACTTGACTTCAACCACTTAAGACACCTAAATTAAAAAACCTCGCCTTCTGTAGTCAGGGAAAACCTAAATAATTTTCTCTAGCTGCCTCTTCCTCTTTCTGATTTCAGAGAGAGACTACAGAAACTCTATCACTAATTCAGGCACCTCTTTATGTCCCCCACTGAGCTGGGATGAAGCTGGGTCAAAAGACCTTCTCCATTCCCCAAAAATAAACCAAACATGAATAAGTAGAGGAGTGTATAATCCCTAGAAGAAACATGACAATTCTAGACAAAATTTCAGAAAATCACAGTAGTGTACACAAGATGAATGGCTAAGGGGCGTCTTCACCTCAGAATTTAGGTTTATTTCATACTGAAATCCTTTTTAATTTACTGGGAATCATGTCTAGGTACTCACTGCATTCTAGAGAGAAAATGCAAGTTTCCATCTTAACCATCTAAACACCTCCTGAAAAACACTGATGTGCTAACAAAGCACTTCATAACTCCAGAGAACTTTCAATTATTGGTTAAAGAAGAACTCTAAATTAATTCACAAAGATTCTAAATACATTACATTAATACATCAGCTACTGTAAGCATACCTGTTGGGATCTTGTAATAAATCTACTGCTTCTCTTAGTTGCTCTATCATTGCTATATCAATAGTTTGTTCTTCTGATAAACTTATTCTATAATAGAAAACAAAAGCATTCAAGAAAAGAGGTACAACAGCAATTATCAAGGGTAGCCTAAATTTCACTTTATATCTTCCAAGTGGCGTGCAAACAATATAAAGGGGAAAAACAGCCTCTCTGCACACCAGTATGCGCTGAACTTATGCAGTTTCTCCTGAAAAACCTCCCCAGCACCTTGTCCTTAACAAAGCCCCCCAACCTAATACATACTTACATAGATGTGAACTTACATAACATTCAGCATTCAATTAAACAGACTGACTTCTAAAATTGAAGATATTGAACCAATATTTGACTCTTAACTACACTCACTGTGTGTGTTGTTTTAACGTAACTACTAAATACAATGATTCTTTTAATGGACCAGCATGCTTTCTTTTGCTTTTCAAGATTTATAATTCTTATAAATCTCCTGTTAGTTCTGCCAATAAGGCTCTTTCAGAAAGGACTTACTCTTCCCTTCCTTCAGTTTTCATTTTTAAATTGTATAGGACTCCACTGTCCCAATGACTGACAACTTCACAGCACACTGTCATATTAAATCCCCTTTTCTTATGCACAAGCCTCAGCAACTGATGCGCAGTTGCTCTGCTCTTGAATTAATGTCTGTAAATTAACAATTGCTTCAGGGTTAAATTATGACAAAATAAGATGGACAACGGTGGGATTTTTTTACACTTAATTTTTTTTTAAAAAGAAGAAAACAAGTTTTTATAAAATAGTCTTTTACCAAAGCCATTAACAGACCAAATATCAAAATACCTCCTCAAGAAACTTGTTTCGACATAGGTAAAAATAATACAGCATTACTGGGGCATACAAATTAATTAGTTTTAACATAACATCCACTCTCTTCAGCAATAATGTGTAAAACATTGAGCACACATGAAGTGCAAGGCTGTACTTCTATCATTCCTCCAAGTCTACAAAGTTATCAATTGAGAAGAAAATGCCAGTTCTTTGCACATAACACAGGTAATTTCTTATAGACACATAAAATATACTTACATTTCATCTGTGTGCCATTGTGTGTCCTCTTCTATTCTCAACAATTCATCACACTCTGCTGCTCTACTCTGCAAGTAGACAGTGATATTGAGGGCTGAACTTTGCAATTAAGTAGGCAGATAAATATTGCTTTCAGATTCAGCACTGACCTAATTTATGTAACAGTTTAAGGGTAGCTAGTTGAAGCAATTCAACAATTCTGCTCCACTCCTCTCTCTACCTCTTTTAAGATGCTGATTACAAGAATTGCTATTCGCTGCTCAAATTTTATTGAGGTCAACAGCCCTTACTCTCCTTTAACAGTAAAAGAAGTCAAGCAGCATGAGAATTCTTTATTCTATGTCCCAGATTTTATTTATGGCTTTCTGGTGTATGCAAACAATGCTTCAATTAAGCACGACCCTGAGTCTCCTCCTACCAGATCCAAATTTGTTTACAGAGCGAAGAAATTCCAAATATGCAAACAGTAGCAATTACGTACTTCATCCATAATTAACAGCATTCCTACTTGACAATTTTAACAGCCATGTTTGCAGGGCTTTTTTAAACAAATACGCATGCAAGAATTCATATTAATCAGCCAGTTATATAGACGTAAGAGTATAAAATGTCCTAATTATGACTATGAAGTGCTACTTTTCAGAAAAAGTGACTCTCTCTTTAATGTTTCTTTTTGATGTTTTGTAATTTTATTTTCTCTTTCATCTCAGACACGCAGGAACACTGAAGTAGTTCAGCTGCCAGTAAAGACAGAAGGTCTCTAAATGGATGTGTGCTTGTACTAGTAGAGAACAATCAGCAGAAAACAGAGCAGCTTATCCTCTTTTGAGTCATGCGTTTGTCACATCAGTCACATCACCCTGCTATCCAACCCTGTGACATGTGTCACTAAAGAGTGTACTGGTTTCTCTAGCGTTCCCCAAAGACGGCCCATTTTCCAGTGCAAATCCTCAGTAGAATGAATAAAGCCATTATTTTTTCTTTTTCTTCTCCTTAGAGGAATGAAGTATATGATTTTTCCCACAAGAAGGACACATACAAGATGAGAAAAACACAGCACTTATTGTAGAAGGCGATCCTCAGTTTCTGGGCATAACTATGTAGACAAGATAAAGCCAGATAAGATAGTATTTGAAAAACTACAAACTCCTCTAAGCCTAAGCTCTTCTTCTGCACTGCACATTGTACTGATTTTATGTATGGTTTGGTTAAGCCAGAATTTCAATTCTAGAAGACCCCCTCCACTGTCCCAAAAGACATTCCATTATATGACTTAATGTATACCAAAGAACACAACAGATTTGGAAATCTGCACAAGAAGGAAAACGACGCAAGTTCAAAACCCTCAGAATAAAATGGATGTACTACCTGTTAAAGTCATAAGTTGCTGATATCAACCATCATAATGTTAAAGAAGATATCAAAATTTAAAGAAATAAAACTGCTCACTCTGTCAATACCCTTATACTGAAATTCAGTACAGTAACTTATATTTTATGGAACCAGTGTCTGCAACACATTTTAGATGCTATTATGTTATTATTATAGAGGACATTCCCAAGAGACTAGTCTTCAAATGACTGACTACTGAAAATCAGATGATGAAATGAGAATAAAGAGGCAGGCAACTATAAAGCATATACATAGTTATTACATAATTATAATAAAATATTTTATAATAATAAAATTGTCATAAACTTGCCTTAATGTAACTCATAAATTCAGTAGTAAGAGTATCTGATTCATCAAACTGGTCTTCTATTTCTCTTGACTTATCACTGACAATCAAGTGAGAAGATACTTGATGGAATTCTACTAACAATAAAAAAAGAGAGAATTATTTCTTGTTCAGCTCAGCATTTGTTACTCAACATAATTTAAGTGTACTGAGTAATAGAACTCAAAACCAAAGTCTAAATTAAAAGCATATTAAAAACTTCAAACAAGTTAATATCTTTGCTCATTTCAACCTGTAATAAATCAATACCCTGGGATAATACAGTTACAGATCGCAAGCACCACAAGCATCAATGGAGTCGGTTTTGAACTACACCAAGCATGTCTTGCCAGTACTGGTGCAAGGACACAGCTGGACAGCTGCATAGTGTTACAATACCTTCAGATGTGTCAGCCGGCGTCTGCAATTTCAGTTGCAATGCTGTAACAAGCGAAGTTTCTTCGCAGAATTCAAAATGATTCAGAGCCTTTACAGCCAATACCATACTCTTATTTACAGGAGTATGAGGCAGTAGTAATTTTCTCCTGTTTTAAGTAGTCTGATCCTATAACTTACCTTCCCCAGCTTGCTAACAAACACTGTAGGATGTAATCTTCCTACTATCTCACTTTATATTAAGTCCAACTACAGAAATGGACTCTGCTTTTGTACATTGCTAACTCAGAAACTGAGTTGCCATTTGATAAGTTATTACACATTGATACTACTGTTTGGGAAGCATGGTTTAAATCAACTCTCACTTTTCTTCCCCCAGTTAGAACCAGAACTTAACTCCTGAGACAATATGTGTCTCAGGTGTAATATGTTCATTGGAATTGCTATGGAAAATTACTATAAGGACCTTGATTCAGTATGGTTAAAAATGGTCTAAGTAGCACACTTTTTTTTTTGCTATTTTACGTGACTGTATATACATGATCAAAGCCTTTGGGTAGGGAGGCAGTTATTATAAAAAATTTAAATACATAGGGTAGTGAAAATACCTGTTGTTCAACTAGGATATCAGTAAGAAAAATCAATTTAATAAGGCATTTAACCAGTACAAAATTAAACACTGAAACTTCCAAAGGAAAATATCAGGGAATAAAACATTTAATTTAAAGACAATGTTTGTAGACTCCTGAGAGACAGATGCCAGTTGGGCTGTGATTTTCGCAACTGAATTTACAGTCTTATACATGGAATTATTGACAGAATTTCTCTGTATTTAACTTCCACTTTCTTTACATTCCAACCTTTTCTTGAGTTAGCATGGTGACTTGAATCTTCCTTTACAACATGATCTTCTTCCACAATGTCCGACATTGGTACATTAAAGCTGATAGTGTCTTCATCAGATGGCTAAGAAGAAATAAGAGAAACACTGGTTTCAGCTCAAATCAAGAGGGATAAAAAATGTACGTATTAGTAAGAGTGCTCACTAAAAGAGTGACAAACTAATATGGGAGAGGATACCAGAGCATCTAACATGACAAAATTCTGTTGTAGAAAGCTGTAGTCTTGCTAGATATATCCTCACAAGAGGCTTGCAAAACAAAGCAATTCACCTATCCTCATTGTCTACCTTCTTCACTGCACTAGTTCTCTCCTTGCAGTGGTACAGCTGCACTGTGCTGCTCCCTGTGTGCTTTCCTGGGACCGCTGAAAACAGAGGCTCCTTCTAGACACCAATGTCTGTAGACAAACTGAGCCTTGTACCACAGCCTTTTTTTCTTTCCCTCCAAGATTCTTCTCCCCTACTTTGCCATGCTGCTTGTTAATTTAATGCCAAAAGCAAGCAAGATTACATTTGTAGGCTAGCTTCTAGAATTATGCCATTCTTCCTACCTTTATATGTTCATATTCCACAGAGAAAGTATTTTTTTTTAAACCTTTATTAAGGTTTGTAATAAAGGACAGAGCAAATCTTTGCTTTTAAAAAACTGTACCCAGATACATGTGATTATTCCTATTTGCCAAGACTACCCTGGACTTCACACATTTTGTAAATGTGGACCACCATATATTTTCCTCTTTATGAATAATCTGCACATTATTAACTCTATGAATTCACTGACTGTATTCTGCTTAAGGAGAAAAAATTCAAAAGGATATTCAAGTATTTGACAAATACTTATCAAAATGATGAAGCTTTATAATGTAGTGAACTAACATTGAATAATAACTGTTCTTATTTGTCAATTTTAACATAATTTTTAACATCAATTTTATTTTAAAATTAAATAAACTTAATACCTCAAACAAAACAAACAAAAAAAAAAAACAAAGCCCACTCCAAGTATTCTAAGCACAAAAGTCAGTAGTTCTTTTAGACCTGAAATAATGACAATCCAACAGCTTAAAAAAAAAGGTGGGGGAAAGAGAGGAGACACATGCACAGTATAAATCCACTCAGACAGCCAAGGTTACACTGAAGTTCCTTTTCTTTCAGTCTGTATCTCATTTGACATTTAAGCACTAAATTTGGTTATTCTAGATCAAAGAGTCATGTTTTGTTAATTTCGCAACTATCATTAGAAAATAGTACAGTAAAATGTTCTTACACACATTATTACAAGTTCTGAATACTAAAACTGGCAAGATTTTTTTTTTTCTCAGCAGAGTAACACATACAGTTTTTCAGAAAATATTTTGGAATGCTGGTGTAAAAAAAGCCACTGGCCATTCAATTTGGAAACAGAAAATCATTTTTTCAACAGGCTATTTCTTACTTTCAGGGTCTACAGAATTCTGAAATTCCAGGTTTTTCCTGCCAGTATACTATGAAATAGAAACTATCCAAAGCAGCCTATGATAATATGAAACTATTGCTCCTTCTTAGGCGAAACACATCTTTTGTTCAGAGTTTAACTTTTCCAGCTAGCAACAGAAGGAAACAGACATACAAGAATCAAAAATACTTAACATTATTCCAACAATGAATTCAGATGATGCACTTTCAAAGAATTTTCATGTAAAATGTTGCTGGTTCCGATGTGTCACTCTCATGGGAAATAAGGCAGGGACACCTGGATTTTAACAAGTACCCTCTTGGTTTAATGAATTTTAAGGGAAAAAAAAAGGGGCCAAAGGGAGGTGGAAAATGAATCAAAATGCTACACTGTATCTGAAAATAAGGTACACTACTTTAGAGCAGAATTTGCCTTCAAGTTGCCAGGATCAATTTAACAGCAACGCTACATGTTATCTTTGACTCGAAATACCCAAGGTGACTACAGATCTGAAGAATTGACCCTGTAATGACCCTACCAAGAAGCCAGTCAGGAACACATAAATTGTTAATTTCTTCAAGTACTATGTCCTATGTGTATGGACCCAAGCTAATTAGCAAGCTTCCTAAAAAATACAGTAGCATTTAAACAAGTGAGTCACTTAAATTCCTGGTTTTAAGTTACACAAATGCAAAATGACATTGTATTTTCCGTGAAAGAGCTGAAACCCAACAGCTACTGTCCTTCAGAGTAAACTATAATTTCATAGAATCAACAGAACAGCTTGGGTTGGAAGGGACCTTAAAGCTCATCTAGTGTGAACCCCCTGCCATGGGTAGGCACACCTTCTACTAGAGACCAGGTTGCTCAGAGCCCATCCAACCTGGCCCTTGGGATGGGACATCCACAGCTTCACAGGGCTGTGTCTCACCACCCTCACAGTAGGAAGCCTCCTAATATCTAATCTAAATCTCTCCTCTTCCAGTTCAAAACCATTCTCCCCTGTCCTATCCCTACCTGCCCTTGCAAAACTTCCCTCTCCAGAGTTCAGTGCCCTTTAGGCACTGGAAGCTGCTCTAACGTCTCTCCGGACGCCTTCTCTTTTCCAGGCTGAAAAAGTCCAACCCGCCCACCCTGTCTTTCATAGGACAGCTGCTACAGCCCTCTAAGCATCTTCATGGCCCTCCTCTGTCTGATGTCTTTATAAAGAAAGGTCCAAAAATCTGTTTAATGACTACTTCATGTCTGATAATTTAGTATTTATCTAGTGTTTAGAATGTAACTTCCGGCTGTAACTAATAATGTATGTGAATCCTTATTCACAACATGTTAATATTTCTTGCACAATTCTCACGTGTAACATGGTTACTAAAAGTCACATCAGAGATAAGAGTGCTGAATTTACTATTAAATACATTTAGGATTACTGATCTCAGCAGCTATTTTCTCCTTAATAGTAGAGCAGTAGTCAGGCAGGGTGGAATAAGCAAATAGTTCTCATATAAGAAAATCTCTGCGCTGATAAAAATTTACTGGTTCACTGTTGCTTGACTTTAAAGCATTTTTTGCAGCATTCCAGTTGCTACATTTTGATTACAGGAAAGATGATCTATTTTCTAAAAATGTTATTAATAGCTAAAGAGGAAGTTCTGGAATAACAGTTTAATTAACAAGCTAACTCAGCTTCAGGAAGTGTAAGAATGGCAAAACAATTTGTAAGCATCTCTGAATGGACTGCATACTCTTACAATTAGAGGGAAAGCATTAGATGTCTGCCTGTAAATCATTCTACTTCAATTCCATCTAGCAAGAAACTTGCCCAAATACTTGGAAATCCCTGTGGGGTTTGTTTGTTTTTTAAGTGCTTTTGTATTTGAAAGACCAATCAGCGTGTAAGTGAAATCATTTTCAATTTGCTTTTTGGTAACTACAAATTCAGTCTCTAAGCTCGATTCTTTCTACCTTTGTTCCAAAAGCCACAGAATCCATTTTCCTCATAGGAGGAGAGAAACACCAAAGAATCAGTGTAAAGTTATTTTAAGTAGCAAGAAGCTCATTCTTTTATGAAGTTTCTACACTACAACAAACCACCATAATCACATCACAGAACATACCAGGGCTGGGCATGCTGAATTCCTGTTAATTTGCAACAGGAAAAAATCATCAGAGAGAAAACACGTGAGAAAAAGCCAGGTATGTAACCTCTATCTACTACTTTGTTGGAAACAGCAGATGTGGATTCTGGTTTGGTCCTCATTCTCTAGATAATGTAAATTAACTAAAAACTGTCATGAATTTTCTCTGTTGGTAGATTGTTGACCATTTGAAACCAAGTATCTCACTGCCCTCTCCAGAAAGTGTACAGACACACGCACACAAAAATACCCTAGTCTCCTTTTATCTTTGCCTTAGCCATTTCTTCACAAGAAATTCACGCCAAGGATGTGGTTGCAACAGTTTTGATGGCCAAAAATGTATCCACATTGTTACCCAAATTAAAATACAGCCAAAATAAGGGTGCTGGAAGGGCAGCTGAACACGAAATTCATGCAACTTACCTCTGTTGCTGACAAACGTTTATCACCATTATCACTACCAACACCCGAATCAGAGTCCTTTTTACTTGGATAGATGTCATCAATGCTAGATGTGAAAAAAATAAAGAAATTAAATCAATAAAAAGCTATTGTAGCATTTACCATTAGAATTCTGTCCTAGTTTCATTTAAAAAAAAAAAAGCAGAATTCTAACGAGTCTTAACAGGAAAGGGTAAAGTAGCCTAGGATGGTTAAAAACTACAAATTTGAAGTCTGGTGATAGGAAAATTGATGAGATGGAATGGCTGGTTAGCCTCAGGATTAATGAAAATCACAGAAATCTGCTGTAAGGTTTGCTTTTGTTTATACACCAAGTAAAAATGTGTAGTTGCTACCCAAGTAGCTCAAGAGTCAGACTGAAGTCATTTAGCCATGCGATAAGTAACTAAACTAGTTGAACTCAAACTATAGTCAACTAATATAATTATAACCACTGATGCATTAAAAATTGAACTATCTCCCTGTGGCTTGAAGTAATTATTAACACAGAAACCTCCTTTTACTGCTTTAAAATAGAGTTTGAAATTTAGGTTTTTAGAAAACTACACTAACAGCAGCTGTTCCCTCTTCTGGTTTCATGGCCTAATATGACCTCTACTCATTTTAAAGTACACTAGTAGATTAAATACACTCATTAACTAACTTTATATTTCTAAATATGATTTATTATCCTCTCATTTACAATCCTGAAAGCTTTAGTCCTGAATTCAGATTGACGCAGCAATTTAAACAAAGAACTTTATCAGCCTTTACATAAATAAGGTATTTGATTAGTCCTAATCTTACCTTATCTTTCATCAGTAACTGCCATGGAATTTTTTGTAGAAACTGCCTATGGAAATCCTAACTATATTATGTTTTTATTTCAGATGTGTGAAGTTATTCTCTAAAATAAAAGATTTGGCAATTATTATGTGATAGGGCATTAGGTGGTTAGCTACCAACTGGTATATACCCACTTACCCTAACTTGTATGATTGTGCATGAAAAAAATGTCATACAGACCATGACATTCCTGTCAATTTTCTTGTGTACTAAAATAACAAAATAGAAAACCCACTGGTGTTTCCCAAATGGAAAAACTTACTCTTCAACCTGGATTCTTCCTAACCTTGGTATTTATCTGATAGAACTTCACAGAGGTGCCTTCAAACATACATGGAAGAAAAGAATTTACTTGAAATCTTATCTAGATGACTGAAAGGGAGGCTCCATAATAATTCTTTTTTTCTTTCTCTTCTTTCCCTGGGTTTTGGCAGCAAGATATCCATTTTTATTTACATCAATACTTTGTTTTCTCTCAAGAAAAAATAAAAATAAGGCATGATCATTCTTTCTCTGATTGGTTACATGAGCCTTCCCATGTTAGCAAAGTCAGAGTTGGCTAAAAGCTGGTTTCCAATTACCTACAGAGATTTTCATAGAAAGAAATTCTTTCGAATGTAGTTCCTGTCCTTAAACAACAATACTAGATGACATTTTCTAGATACTTGGTGCAGGACATTGCAGATTTCTGTCTTTCACTTTGCTAGCAAATTATCATATTTCATTTTAAAAGGGTCTCAACATTCATGCAGCTCTCTTTGCTGGATGGATAAGCCTCTGGATGAGTAAAAGTGCTTGAAACAACTGTGTGTCATATAAATCACAAAACAACACAGGAAAATAAAACTTAATGTGCTAATAGATTTACAAGAAATTTCCAACACCTAGTGATACACCTGAATTACTCTGAATATATTCCAGTAGGCAATGAGTAAGAGGTTAGATTTAAACTAAGGTTCACTTCTAAGCAACTTCCTAATGTGCTGCTAACTTTAATCAGAACCGATTGTTAAAAATATTTTGTCATAAACTCTTATAAGTAATTCACAGAATACACTATATCACAGCAAAATAAATCTCTGTTAAAAAAGTGCATTCTAAATAGCACCTAAACAAATAAAACTCTAGCAGCTAAAGATATAAAAGTCTTTTTTTCACTTTATTTATAAGTGTTACATGAAAAAAAACTAAGTGAGATTTTCATACATACCTCTCTTCCACGGGTTGTGGCAAATGCTGTTGTTCTATGGCATTAAGATACAGTGAGTCTGCTGTTTTAATCTGACAGGCCTGTACAGTCAGATATTTGAATATATGCACCTTACCCTTTGTACAAATCTGTTAGACAACAAACAAAACCAAAACAGCCTAAATTTATAACTCAAATGAAAGATAAAAACTTATTCCAAACGTCACTTAGTGTAAAACTACCTGAAAACCAGTTCGTATCATCACAACAGATATTATGTGCAGGAAAATGGATATTTTTCTTTTTTTTTATACATTACTAAGAACTACTTCAATCACCCAATCAATTATCTGTGCATACTAATATAAATGCCCTCAGAAAGTAAGACAGAAAACATGAAAAGTATGTACTAAAAAAAAAAAAAAAAACAATCCAAGTGAACTTTATACTCAAAAAGAATTACAAGATATATCATATGGCCTATTACTAACTGTAAATTGAATAGCCATTTTCCAAAATTAGTCAATAATGAATTTATCATGTCATTTTTACTTAGTGACATGGTCTTCACTAGCACCCAAGCACCTTCATGATGCATTTGGCCTGCATTTTTAAATTATTTTTCTGTAACGGCACCCAATATCAAGGCTCAAATTAAATTATAGATTACTTACTTGTGCTGGTGGAGACTGCAAAGGATTATTCTCAAGCAGTAATACTTGTAATTGCACCATCTTTCTAAAGCATATTGGAATCACAAGCACTTTATTGCAGGAAAAGTCAAACTTTACTAAGGGAAGCTGTACAAGTTCTAAAAGTAACAAAGAAAAAGAGAGAAAGCATAATATCTGTATTTATTCTTTTATTTTTGTCATAAAAGAATATTTTTCAAGAAACCTTCTTTTGCATTCACGAAAAATATAAATGCAGGCAGACATCAACATTTACTTTATATGAGAAAGAGAAAGAGTGTTACTGTTATACAAGCGATGATAAATTTTAAAATAAATACTTTGAAATACATTTTTTTCCTGAAGCTTAGCTGACAGTTCTCACCCTGCATTCACAGGTAAGTACTTGCGCAACTTAAAAGGTGCCTAGAATAATAAAGATAACTCATTTAAAAACTCTCGCACACTGTTATTTGGCGAGTACCACTGAATGTTATATTCTGCAAACTCAAACGGAATAAATTTGATCACAAAGTAATTACTTTTTAATCATATTTGTTAACATGATTAAAAAAATGCTTTCAAAATGCTAATAAAAAGAGCTACCATATAGATATTAGGAATTTTCATTTGTTTGATTTTACCTTGGGGTAAAACTTCGAGGTAATTTCTTCTGACATTTAATTCTTTTAAAGATTTCAGCTGGCCTATCTGTTGTGGCAAAGCTGTGATTTCATTACAGCTAACATCCTACAGCAAAAGAGTAATAATAGAAAAAAAATGAGCTTTTGGCTCCTAAGTGTTAAATAATACAGATGTGAAATTGTAGCTAATCTGCTATTACCGTTCTAGCATTTTATTAATCTGAAAACATGCAACCATCTAAGTCGTGTCTTCACAATACAAAACTAAGCATATGAAAAACCGGTTACACATTACTTAAAACCCAAAGTGAATTCATATTTAAAAAGAGTAAAGTTACTTTTGAAAATTAATTTAACTTCTATCAAAACATTCAAAACCATTTGCTTAAGATGTTCTACCTTTTCCTTCCCCTTTTATTCATAAGAACAACTCAGTACCATGATTCTGTAACCAAATACGTTTGCATAAAATATAAAACTGCTAATGTGTGGATCTGATTTTTAAAAAAACATAGTTGTTCTTCAGGAGGGAATATTTAAACAAAATAAAAGATAAAATGGCAACATCGTTCTGTATTTATGCTCAGGAAAGGCATCTATTTGATCGTCACATCATATAGTAGATCACAAAAAAATTGGACAGGTCTTGCTTAATATTATACAGATATTCAATGTATTATTATAAAAGTTACTTCTTAACTGCCTAGACAGATTCTAAGTAGGTCTGATTTTGATGACTAAATACAACTGGTTTAATAATCTGGATAAAATTGGACAACATCCTCATTTCAGCATTCTTAAATGCTATAAAATTGAAAGTATAGGGTCTGGCTATAGTGAGCATAATTTCAAGCAAAAAGTTTATACACTGTAGCATTACTGTGATAAATATTACACTTTAGCACTATTGGTAGGAAGAAACTGCTACTAATATGTACTAAAGATCAACCCCTTGAATCAAGTCAGTCAAAAATTAGATAGTTTGCAGACAATAGCTACCATTTATGCTGCCAAATGTGAAACCCAATGTGAAATCAAAAGGACATTGAAATCTCTGCTTACATCCCAGGCAATCTGCAAATTTGAGTACTAGCCCAATTATGCTTCCATTTCTGCAATGAAAAAAAGGAAACAGTATTTCATAGCATAAGAGTAACTGGGTTATGCCAAATTTTCCTGAATTGCCCACACAATACTTTTAGGACTCGTACTCTCAATTGTTTCAAATGGATTTCTACAGTCCTGGGGAGCTCCTGGACTACAAACATTCCAAAAGTCAGTCAGATTTCCAAGTCACCTTTGCAAAGATGTTGCTTTCATGCTAGGAAAAAGCATTAACTCCCTATCTTCAAGCCTAAAAACTAGTTAACAGAAAAATGATAGTAAAAGTGAAATGTCATCTGTCAACGCTGCTCGATATATCAAACAAGATTCTTCTTGTAACAGAATCTCACCGCTGCCAAAGCTTCCTTCCCTTGTCAAAACAGAGTCAGGAAATTATTTCAGCTTTTAGACAAGGAAATTAAAAATCCCAGTTAATGAGTGTATCTTTTGTCCAAGTTGATACAAAGTATGCTTAATTGCAGTGATCCTAGATCATTTATTTTTAAAGTTTTACTGTCCCATTTTTAATTTGCAGACTTTAAACAACTTCATAATTAGATAATTTTTAGAGCACGTAATTTAAAGTCACCTTGTGGCAGAAAAACTTTAGACCAAGTGCACTTATGCACACACATCAGAACAAGTCAGAGGAAGAGAATTTTAAAGGAAGTGGAAAAAGGCTGGCAGTGCATAGCCTCAAAACCAAAGTCAACTTACAGCCTTTCAAAACATCCTCAGTACGACTAATCTGTTATGACACCATGTCAGTATTCACAAGATCTCTAGAGACAGCAGTATCCTTTACCCTACTATACACTGCAGTTCAACTTTTTTTATTAGTTTAAATAGCCATGAAAAACAAAGACCTGTAACATTATTTCTAGTTATACTTCTGCTCTTGATCATTACTAGACTTTATGCATGTGTACGTGACAGTGTTTATCTTTCCTATTACTTTGGCACTAATGGGAGCAATACTATCAAGTCAAATGTCTAATGGCTTTCAAGATAATAATTTCTTAAAGGAACTATGCAATCAGGAGTTTGGAACTTCACTTCATGGACATCTGCAGCCAACTGAAGTGCAAACACCCATACAAGTTCTAAAGGGCTAGTGCTTGCTGAAGGTCAGACTTCTTGGATTAATTCTACTTTGTTCTCATCAGTTATGCCATCTCCTGTCATGACAACATAATTTCTCAAGATCAGAGATACATAAGGAGTATTTCAGTTCAACATTTCTGTGAAAAATGGTGTAAAACCAAAATTAAAATTATGTGTTTTTTTTTGTTCATGATAAACTTCAAATGGTCTTAACCAATGAAAGTCAGCATAAATATTAATGTATTAACACACACAGAAGAATATCCTAACCATCCATGCTGATGTAAGGTTCCTCTTTACATCCATTTTTAAATCTGGGGCTCCTGACTGAGCTGTTATTCCTGAAAATCAGGTGGATTCTGTCACAGCTTGTCACATACAAGCTATACTGAACATGGCCCTTTTAGGCAACAGAAGGCAGAAGGTCCCACTTGGTCAGGGTGCTGGCCCAGATTAGATGAATAAACTGAAGGACATAAATCCCAGCTGAGAGATTTAAAGGCTTTCAAAATGAGACAGCAGTATCCAAGAGATGGAGAAGGCTGCTACCTGAAAAAGGCAGAAGTGCAATACTGCCTGACACGATGGAGAACAAAATTTTACTGTACATCTGACAGTTTGGGGTACAATTACTGAGCCATCTCTGCCCAACTACTTTGATCAAAAGTAAATTTCAGATTATCTTCACACCCAATTTGCACTCATCTTCCCGGCTGATAGTAGAAGTATGATTTCAATTATGCAGCTGCAAATAAAAGTAAGTTTCCCAACCAAATTTTGCACATAACTGTAATACATCTGTAGGGAGAATAATGTATATGTTATTTTGATGCTTGCAAGATAGCTGACAGATCTATATAACCCAAACCTCTAACATTTAAAAGAATTCGTGTCAAAAAGTTAGGTGAAAACAAATAATAAAACCCATTTGCTATGTACATGGATTTTACTGAATGCATCTCATGAAACACTTTGGGAACCTGAGGGTGCTTAGCAAAGTCCTAGTGATACAAGAATTGCCCACAATCAGGTGGTATCTGTTACCTCTCAGGATCAATCCCCTGGGCCAGCCCCATGACAGCACCGCGTATGTACCAATACAGCAGCATGCCCTGCCAGAAGGCTGGGTGACAGTCCTACTTGGAGACCACATGCTACTGAGGCTGGCATAGGTCTCACACAGCTGAATGTTTTGTGGAACAACTGCAAAATGACTTAATCGGGGTTTTTTTTGTGTCTTTCTTCATTTTTACTCAGTTTAGAACAATGATGACCTTATTATCTAAACTGCATTGTAACATACATGCCAATACAGATCTTGCCTCTCAATCCTGTCACTATTTGCTTCTTCCAATACATCACAGTCATTTCCAGCTAAATAATGCAACTTATTTCACTAGAAATGTAGCAAACATTCATGGTGGCATTACACTAACTAATCAGGTCATCTGAACAGAACCATACCCAATTTAACAAAACCTTGTTATTCACTTTCCTCCCACCCACTTCTAATCACATGAATCTTCCAGGCCACCAAAGAGAAATGTTGCTATAGCCTCTCATTTGAACTATTTTTAGAGCAGGGATTGTTGCTTTTATCATGCCAAAGAGTAACACTGAAATTATACTGTAACTGGAAAGCAATATGAAAATCCAGTATTCCAGAAGTTAAACACGTGATTTGTTTAAAAAAGCCAAAACAAATCCTATCTCATTTGAACATAATCAACATTGATTTTCAAGCTTTTAGTTTTTAACTTTTCAAAATTCTAAAATAAGGATAAAGGCTACTATTAAACTGTGTACAAACTCTTACTAACAAATTAAACACTTTCAGCAACTACAATGCAGTTCACCTTACTGGGAGGATTCAAACTTGAAATTGGAGGGGAAATTAGATACAAAAGCATTTCAGCAGCTCTTTACTGAAAATATTCTTACAGACCTCAGTTAATACAAATTAAAGGAGTTATTTTCACCAGACAGAATTCAGGCCAAGTCTTTCAATTATTTCACATGAGTCCCCCACAAGCTGGGCAGCATTTAAATTAGAAGCAATCAAGCACTAAAAAGTTCCAACAGTTGTTTATTATCTATTAAGGTTATCCTATCCCCTAAATAAGTATGTGTTTAATACTGCTGACTTAAATTATACATAGACTTGGAATCATAATCTTTTATTGTATCTATCTTAAGCACAACAGAAACAATGTTACAGCCTACTACTTTTTTTGAAGGTTAAGTAAATCAAAACCATTTCAATAACCTACCTAAACCCGTCACGCACACAAACAAATTAGAGTATTTGATAAGATAAATTACTAACGTTTACTAAACAAAACAAACTTAGTCTTTAGCTAAGATATAAACCAGAAAGGAAAGAGTAACTACTTCCCCCCATCCTCATCAATGGCCAGATTAGTTGTAATAAACAACAGAGGCCTGATACCAAAGGAGGCTGTGTACTAAAAAAATACTAGATGACAAACAGCCCCACACTTCCTACTTCATATATAAAGAACCAGCAGCAGGACTGGGGCCTAAAAAAAGGTCAGCTCAATTTCTGAAACATAATTTATTAGAGAGGCTACTGTTCTATAATGATAATCAGGCACTTTCAAATACTAGAAAGATGGGCAAGATAAATGCTGTCAATGGAGACATCAGCAGTTGGTAGAAAGTTCAGATATAATTGTTTTACTATGGATAAATTAGCAGCGTCAAAATGTAGCTTGTCAATTTGTATCTTAAGAGGTCCAGGTGAACAGAAATAACGTAACACACACGCCATAGAAAATTCAGTCTCAGCCTACAATATACAAAAGATGAAGATAAAGGGAGAGAAAGGGAAGCATTCTCTTATACACATATACCACATACAAATTTCACAAAAACATCTGCAATTAAATTAATTTTAAGCTAAGGTACCAAACATTTTTTGCTTTTTCATATTCTCATTTACCACACAATGTTTTACAGATAATCTACTGCTTGCAGAAACAGTAGTCATGTGGACAGTTCTGAATACAAGAGGAATATAATAATTTTGTAGATCTATTTAGATAGGTATTCCCGGAAAGGAAAGTGTAATAAAGTGAAAATAGACTGATAAGACCAGCATCAGTAGTGGAATTCAACGTGGTAAGCCAATATTAATAACAGAAGGAAAGGAAGCAGAAGAGGGTATTAGAGAGGCTGACACAGCTTTACAGAGCTTGATGCCAGAACTATTAGCTTAACATAGCAAAACAGGGAGCCAGTGGTAGAGGTGGTAAACTTAGAAGGTGAGTTTTGAATGAACCAAGGGCAGTGATGTTATTCAGAAGGGTCCTGAGGAACATAAAGGAAATTATTATTGTGTTATTATTCAACACACTTGAGAAATTCAAAACTTAATTTTTTTAACCCACATTATAGTATTAGGCATTTGTTCAAATCTATTTGTAAAGTGAATTTTACTGTTTCTAGTTAAATACAAATGAAGTCAAAATAAAAAGAAATAAAAATAAAATATCTGTAACATACCAGTTCCATTAACTGTTTTAGCTGACCTATCTCTTCTGGAAGGGAACCTAGCTTATTGTTACTTGCAATTAAGACTTTTAGAGGAAGACCACACAGGCAAGCTGGCAAAGAAGAAAGTTGATTTCGACTGCAACAAAACAAAACAAAACATTAAAACCACCAGTGATGTTCTAGTATGTACTCACATAAAGTGTGAAAGTTATAAAATTCCTCCATTTCCATGGGTCATGCACTTAAAATTTAAATTTTCAAATGGCAAGCATGTCAAAAACATTTAAACATCAAAAATACCTGCATTACTGACTAAACAATATTGTGGAATTTACCACTGGAAAAAAAAGTGCACTATATAAGTTTAAGTAGATGTCTTTTTTTCCAACTGAAAAACAAGTTAAAAATTACAGATAAAATGGTTCTTTTATCAATTTCTTTAAATCATGTTCGAAGTTTAAGTAACATTCTTCATAGTATATTGGGGGGGGGGGAAGAGAGAATGTGAGAAGATTATTTTCAAGAAGAAGAGTTGCAAGAAAAGCCAAAATTTGGAAAAAAGCTTTTAAGTTTTTATTTAGGTTCTCATTCTAGTAACAATTATTCAGGAAGCTGGAACTTAAAAGCTGACAAATGCAATGACCTTTTGTGATCTCCAGATGATTAAAAGTATTAATTTCTTCTGATTTATGGACCAATTCTGGGAAGAAATTTTAAGATCAACAGAACAACATGTTAATTGCTGCCTTTCCTAGAATATTAGAAGGTTTTCTTAAGATACATTTTTTTCTTTTTTATGGGAATTAGCCTGTAGGGAAGCAATGAATAGTAACTTAGAGTGACAACCCACTAAGAACCATTTTAACTTCTGCATGACTGTTAAGGCTTCAAAGAACAAATATGCATGACTGAACTCTGAAAACAGATAGCAAAAATTGTCCTGTGTATTCTCAGGGAGAGTTGCAACACTGAACTGAAACAAAGGGAAACAAAGAAACATAAACAAACAAATAAATAAATAATCTTAAATTCCACAAGTGTCAAACCAGTTCTTCAGCTGCCAATCCAGCAGTCTGCTACAAATCTGCATATAAAGACATATTCATGCTTTTTAACATTTAACAAAGCGAACTATCATCAGATCACTGTTGCATAAGCCAGGAGATAAACAAGTACCAAATAACAAGCTTATTAAAAATGAGAAATCCAACTACTCAGCAGTAGTTGAAAAAAAGAATCAATGCTTATTGCGGAGCCAGGATTCTCCATTCCAGTGTCTTTACAGAAGACCAAGATAAGTTATTTAAAAAAAAAAAAAAAAAAAAAAATCGGTAGAAATAGTTTTTAAGTTCTAAAGAACTCAAATCAAGAAAGCCTAGAACCTAAAAAAGTTACACTGTGCAGACAATCAGACAAAAAAAAAAGTTACAACTTTTTATCAAGTTCTACAGAACTCAGAAGCAATCCACCAGGAGATAAGGAACAGCACATAACCAGGGCAAGTGAGTAATAAATCATCATTAGTTTAAAAGAAATCTCTTTAAATAAAAGATGAACATCATTCACCAAAGCCCAAAGATTATGTATATCTCTTGGCACCACTTTCTAAATGCTGGTAATAGGCAGAAAAACATGCATTTTAAATCTGTAATTCTTCTTGCCAAGAAGCAAGATTGTTAGAAAGTCAAGGTTACATTTCCTCCTTCGACATACCACTTACTGTGTTCAAATAACATGGGGGAAGGGCATAACCAAGAAAAGAGGAGATTTTAAACTGAGTGAAATGATCTTACTTAGTAAAACTTGAAAAAAATCCTTTTATTTTGTCTGATTTACTGTGATACCTGATATTAACTCTGTAATTATTCTAGGTTTGTGATAATTCACACAATTGCATCACTACACTGAGTTCTAATTCACGGGTTCACCACACTGAGTTCTAACTGAGTTCATTCTAACTCAGAAATTTACTAAGATGTTTTATATAAACATAAGAATTTAATCCTGTCTTAGTTTCTTTATGTACATCTAAAACATTATTTCAAACTTTCACAACCTATTCCTTATAGGAATAGTGGCAGATACTCAGGACACACTATTCTGTTTCAATTTCTAGAGCCATAATTAGCATTGCAGAGTGGCCAATACTACAGTAGAGCAACAATACAGGAAGGCTTGAGAAACATCCTCAGTCGTTTACAAAACTGAGGATCAAGCCTTCATAGCTTGAATTCAAAAGCCCAAGAGACACTTTGCCCCCTGCTCAAACCTCATTCCCAAAGATGAGATTATTATAGCTCCACTATTACAATTTTTATATACTCTACTGCAAAGAAACTGCTGATGTGACTGGCATTCTGAATTTGCTAGAAGAATAAGGGAAAGAAAGAGATTACTATTACTTGGTCTTTCTTTAAATAATTAGGCTTACATTTTGGCATTTACAATGAGCTGTATCTGCAGCCAATGAGTTTTTGCATTACCCTTCCAATAAAATGAAAAATGTAGTCAGTTTTTCCAGAAACATATAAAGTGCAGACAGAAAAAAGCTCTACATATTTGCAAATAAACAAAAAAATGCGGCAAAGTTAAACTTACCTCAAATTTAAGTAAGTCAGCATTTGCAAGTTTACTATGGCATCTGGTATAATTTTAATACAATTGTGGTATAGATTTAGTGTTTCCAGTGACACAAAATGGCACAACTCTGTAGGAACCTCTGTTAATCTATTCTTGGATAAATCTGAAAAGAGGAAAAAAAAGAAGGCACATTTTTTGAATCATCTGAAAGATATACTTTGAAAAGCTATGCTTCTTTATTAAAAGAAAGAAATAAATGTAACCCTACAGTGAGGCAGCAAATTAAGTCAGTATTTTTATTATGCAAAATAAAACTATTGCTAATCTTTACAATCTTGAAATGAATCAGACTGAGTATAAAAGAGCAAACATTAAATTAAAATTCATTCAGTCTAATAAAAAGTAATTATTTGCAGGACTCAATATGCTGAGGAAATACTTGCAGACAGAACCAAGTACAGATTCCAAAGCCCGCATAGTATACCCAAAGATATAGTTGATACAGAGCTAGACATCTGCAAATAATGACAGTAGTTATAGAAAGCAAACAAGAAGGATTATATCCTTAATTTCTTTAAATAAATAGATTAAAAGTTTTTTTGGGTAACTCTTCAAACTGACCCGTATTTCCTAGATCTCAATCAATTATAAAATAATGTTACCTATAAAAATGGTGAAGACCTTCAGGAACAGACCTAAGTACGTACAAGACAACAACGGATTCCAGTCCTGCAAATGAATGCTTGTACCCACAGAATGAAAGGTTTTGACCAGTTATTCATTCTTTCTCGTTTTGTTTTGGCAAGGTATTCATTCTTTCTCATTTTGAGCACACAGACATAAAGAAAATCAGTAGGAAGAAATATTACTGAGCTTTGTTCCCTTGCTACCATAGTATGAAAACTGTGGTATCATAACAATTATGTGAGCTCAAGTCATAAAAATAATAATGCATGTCAGCATTCAAATGAATTAACTGGGTTCAAAGAAATATTGAAACAAGTGTTGCAGAACAAGCATCTCTTATCCTCACAAACTACAAAACTGCCACCTACCCATACAACCTGACCTGAAAAATGGTCACCTGTTGTATGTGGAAGGAACAGGAATGTACTTAGGCAAAAAAGTGAAACATCTGATGAGAAGGATACAAGGAAAGAGTGGAACTTAATGTTCTCCTCACTTCTTCACTGCTGCTATTTTAAGCTTCTTCCCTGATCCTTCAAAGCCTATTTTGAAGCTTACTTTCTTAAATATCTAAAAGGAGAAGCATCCAAAATACAGTATGCATATTACCAGAGCACCAATGATCTCCATCCTCTATGCATATAAAGCAATTTTTGGCTTTTATGAACAAACAGGCAGACACCTGAAGATCTTTTTAACTTCTTTGGCAGTTCCAGACTTATCAGTTTGCTGTGCAGAGGCACAGCTTGAGAGCACAACTATTGTGAGTAGGAAGGTTTTATCATTTTTATTTTTGTTCCTGTCTCCTGCAATGCAACCTGAAATTCAGTGCACTATTCCCTTTGTCAGCTTTCACTTTACTTCATCATGTTACTTTCAAGAAAGTTGGTTTCATTATTTCATCCTCTGCCAAGACAACAGCAATAGCCTGTGAGCGCAGTAACTGAGAACAGCCCAGCTGACACAAACAGCAGTGTTGATTAAATTGATCATCTCAACCAAAATTATTCAGTTCTGAGTTACCATACAACAGCAATGCTTGCACTGCTCTGCTTCATCTTACCAGGCTTTGATGGCAGTTAAATGCAGCATTAACTCAGCTTCTACTTTCCTTCACTTCTGCTATTAAACTAAAGCATTCCCTATTTGAGTCAATGTTATTACTGCTTCAATGGGGGGAAAGGTTTTCAATGTTCTTCTGTTTTAGTGCTTTAATCCTCTACTGCCTTCTGTTTATTATGAGAGCACTTGTCTACTAACATGGCATTCGAAAACAATTGCCACTGGTTCTCTCTCCTGCTGCCTTCCAAGCTATACTTATTATCAGATATCAGCAGAGGACTGCTATAACATTTTGATCCATGCAGGGTACCTTTGTATTTTACAGCTCAATTGCAAAGAAAACCTTCCCTTTTTTTAAACCACACTTTTCTGCAGTGACACTGCCACATTCATACTGTTCTTGCTTCCTCCTTTAAAGGGGAGTGAACAGCAAGATCCAGAAGAGTGAAGTGAACATTAGGCCCAGGCTTTAGACAACATGCATGGTGCTGGATGGTACAGGGAGAGTGACACATCTTTCTGATCCTTCTCAAGTGATACATCAAAAACTGAGAACACAAAAATGTTACTTGTTCTCAAGCTATTGAAACTGCAGCCTGCCATCTTAGAATCATATAATGGTGTGGGTTGGAAGGGACCTTCTAAAGGTCATCTAGACCACCCTCCCTTCATTGAGCAGGGACATCTTCAACTAGTCCAGGTTGCCAGAACTACATCCAGCCTGACCTTGAATGTCTCCAGGAACAGGCACATCTACCACCTCTATGGGCAACCTTAACTCCACCTTCATGCCTGCTGTCATTTATCTTCTTATTGAATAAAAGGAATTGTTGACACAACATTTGACTTACCCTTGAAAAAAACTAGTGCCTTAAAGAAGTGGAACAGCAACTAGATTGACCCTGCTCCTATAACTGAGATTAATGTGACAGTAAAATGCTTTTCTAATTATTTTTTTTATTACTATCCTTTGCTCTCAAGGGCCTTAACTCTGTTAATCTGATGAAGGACAAAACAAAAACCCTGTAAATAATAATAGGCAAACTCTTTCCCGTCTTCCTCAGGACCATGTGTTACAGGACACTACACACGCAACAAAGGAAGTCAATTTGTTACTGTCTAGTTTAAGATCATTTCAACACTGGCATCTATTGTACCTTCCTAAATAATAATGATTAAAACCCCCACAGTATAGTCACAGAATAAGGCAGAGGAATAAAAACTATACTTCGCAGAAAAAGGGGAAGTTTGCTACTATACTTTACTGATAAGAGGTATCATTAATAGCAAATCTGAATGTCTTCAGGAAACACCACTGGAATGGAATCTGACATACAGAATGCTCATCACAGTTTTTAACTAGGGGCAGCATTTTTTTTTTTTTTTCCCAAATACCAGACTTTCCTGATCAAATGGGAAGAAGAAAAGAGATTGGGTTTATTCAATCCTAGAATGAATGGGAGCCTCTGAACATGATATAGCTGTGAAGAAAGCATATCACTTTTCATGTGTCTTTGAGAGTTCCATACAGAAAAGCACACCTTTAGAAATGGAAACAGTCTGCATAACAATTTTATAACGTACCTTAAAAGCATATACAAACATGTACAGAAACTCCTCAACTTGCTGCACCTTACAATTAGTCTGTATATCTTTCTAATTTACTCAGCTTTTTAAATTCCAGAATAAAATACACATTCCCCCCCCCCCCCCCCCCCCCCCCCGCTTCATTAATTTGAAGAATAAAGCTTCAGGGTTATTCATAATAATGAAGTCACTGATACAGAAATTGAAATGAACAGAAGGATGGACTTTGCTGGTATTTTAAAGAATTTTTATTAACTTGCTTATAGTACCTAACACAAACAAGACCTAATAAATTAATGACTCTATGGTAGCAGAAATACATTTCATGGTTGTCAAGACAGCATAGGCACTTTTCACCTAAGGTGAAAAATAGGTAACGCAAGTATTAACAAAGGGCCCATACACTGGAGTGAGCTTTGTGTTTTAAATGAAACAAACTACTTATTCATTATTTGTGACATCAAGGCATTTTCAAACTACATCTGGCTTTGCTTCATCTTTTTCTGCCAGGAATAAGTGTTAAAACTCAAAAATAATGTAACAGAACACAAAAAAAAAAAGTCAGCCAGCTTAGAAAAATATTAGATAGAATCTTGACCTCTAAAAGCATCAGCACAATTCTGGTGTAGTGACATGGCTTTTGTATGAGAAATGTTACTATGTTGGAAACTAGACATGAACTACACAAAATAAGCACTTCCTTAGCTGGGAGGGAGCAATAAAAAGCAAGAACTTCAGACTGGTAACTAAGAATTTAACATAAGACTCCAAGCCTTGTTTAAGTGGTTGACACACTACATGGTCAGGGTCCACGCTGCCATCATACCAGTAAATAACTGACCCCATCCTCAGTGCAAAAGCTTTCAATTCCTAAAGCTCTGAATGTATCTACCACTGCTGATAGGACTTTTCTGACCTCATGCTTTACAGGCAGATTACCAACTACCACTATAAATATATGCGTAAGTATAAATCACTGCTACTGAACAACCCAAAACAGCATTGTCAAAATAACCAGAATAATACTAAAAGTCATATAGTTATGCTTCTTTCAGTAGTTACCAAGGTGCTCCATTTTTTCTTCCTTCCAGTTATTAATACATTAAATATAAGTTATTAATATTTTAAGTAAAAATTTCAGACTTTCATGGAAGAGCTAAACAATTTAAGCCTTCAAGTCAGAACATTCATTAAATAAATATATATATGCACTATTACATCACAATTTTTTCCAATAATTCTAATGAAAGCAGATTATCAAAAAGCAGTGATTTATAACTTTCAGATTAGAGAAAAATTCACTATACATTTATACTTCTAAAGCACTAACCTAAATAGACAAAAGTTGAAATTAGGCAAGTAAGAATTTACCCACTATTGAGCAGGAAATTTTGCACATATATATCTGTGTATGCATACAGTTGTATATAAAGGAAATATCTGTACTTGAATTGGAGTCCAGAAAGCAAGAAATTGCATGGTAAAAAAGCCACCCAAACAACCTCAGCTCCAGCCCACCAAGTTCCTATTTTTGTCATCTTCAGCACTTACTGAATAGAAGACGGGAATTATTTTGAAAAAGCTATTTGCATTTGTATTAACATACTATTCAAGGTATTCAAATGAGATGTTTGAATTGTATTTGACAAAGGACTGAAGCAATTCACTGTAAGAGCCTAAAAAATAGTAAGTTCAGCCCTAATTTCATGGGAGAATGGTAGGAAATACATAGAGACATCTAGACATGAATGATACAACTGTATGTAGCTTTGCCTTTATACTGTAAGTTACCCATATTTTTATTAAGCTTTTAGGAAGCCTGTATTT